TGAGGGGGGCCATGGCGGTGCCGTCCCCGCCGCTCCTGTCAGGGCAGAGCCGCCCCGCCTGGCCGCGGATGGGGGGCAGAGAGCGGGTTAGTTGGGTGTTAAATACCGAAATGGCACGACTATCTTCAGGCGGGAATGGGAAGGGTTAAATTGCCTAAATATGTTGTTACTGTGAGATCTCTAATAGTAGTCCAGGTCTGTTAACATTTAGTTCACAGAAATTGTGACCGAGTCTTCATGACTGCGGTCTGCATTTTGTAGGTCACATATAAGTATTTTGCAAACATAAGCTTTTTGTCTGCCAGTACTGGTATCTTATTGGCGGAACTGAGGATATTCTGTGGAGTACTTTGATGATAGGCACTACCGGCAGACCATATTTTGAGGCAAGCCAAAAATTTACTGTTATCTGGTAGATCTAAAGGTTACCTTAAGCCTCGAGAGGATGTGGAGCTCTCAACAGGGCCATCAGAAGCCACTTCCTCTTCCACCCCATTGCAGGTAGAAGAGAAGGGTGCAGGGTTTCTCCTTTTCTGCCAGTCTTGCCTCCCTCTCCATTCTTGTTACTGGAAGGTCATATTTGACTATATGGACTGCAGAGAGAGATCTGTCTTGCAGGAATTCACTCGTGCTGAAATTCGGCTCTGTTAGTCACAGATTCAGTTGTTTGCCAAAATTACCAACGTTTAAAAGGAAAAGGTCCAGCATGGAACTAAATGTGTAAGAAATTCTTCCCATATCCAAACATAGTAGTTCAAAGTCCAACACATTTTATGTCAACCACCATTGTCTGCAGTGTCTTTAATCCTTACCCTGCTTGAGGAGGACTCCCATCATCTGATCGTTCAGCAGGTGTTTGGTGAACGCATAAACATTTTCTTTATCTGCTCTTTCTAGTGTCCAAGATGAGGCTGTGGACAAAAGGACCTTTAAGAAATGCAACCAGATTGCTTTTTACAGGTAAAAAGAAGAATTATAGTGTAGGTTGTTTGTTGTTTTTCTTTAAACTAGTAATATTAAAAGATACAGGAAGTAGGTTTTGATTTTTAATCACAGCAAGTCTGGTACTTTCAGGATTTGTCTTCCAAACTGAGTGTTCCACTCACCTGTCAGCAAGCAGTAACCAGCGTATTTTAAAAGGTGGACTCTTACATCCAGAACCTCTAATGTTAGAATTCAAAAGAGTCAGTCCTCCCTGACTCTGGGGGCTCTGACAAAGCCCCAGCAGTATTTTGACTATAAGTATACTCAGACACAGCTTGTTTTCTCGATGTGGATATTTCTTGAATATTCATAGTTCAACACAATGGAATTTTCAATAGAAACCATTAGTCTGTGACAATAGAATATATGATTACAGTCCTGTTGAACATTTGCCAGAATTCAGCATCAAATGTAAATTCTAGCTCATTGGTGTCTTAAAGCTGACCTTATGGTAAGTGATTCTTCTCATCCCATTTCTAATTGAGAGATCTCTCCTCCACGTTTTTTCTCCTATCCTCACTTGCTGCCCGAGTGAAAGGAATGATTGCCCAGTGTTATACCAATTAGTCACTGACATACTGGGTTACAGTCTCAGATATTAATTTCTGTTCTGCAGGAAATTATGTTCAGAAAACCCCAAATAACATTTTTCCAATGGGAGCAGAATTTCTTCCTCTCTTCACACCAGCCCTCTCTAGTGTGCCACCATTTTAACTTAGCACAACTCATTTCTCAGCAGGACATTGCCACACATTGGCGAGCATCAGATTCTATCTTTGCATTGCTTTTAAAATAAATCCTTTATCTGATTGCTTGTATTTGTGCAGTATCTGTTTGCAAGGAAACAAAGTCAGTTTACTACTGAAGAAGCTTCCCTTTAAGGTAGCCTCCAAGATACTTATCTTCAAATGGTTCATAAAACCTGGGCTCAGCAAGGAGCATTCCATAGACAGTTGAAAGAGCCTCTGTTTCAGGTTCTCTGTCCTAAAAACATCATCAGGGCCAAAAGCTGTAGTGAAAACTCTGTAATCACCAGGCTTGTTGGAGAACAATTTCCTCAGTACATATTTAAGAGATTACAAGTTACAAACATATGCTGCTTCATCATCACAGAACGTAGAAGGTTTTCACCGAGGGCTTATAGATCAAGCAGGGGTAGAAGACAGAAAATGGAAAACAGATTATTCAGCTGAAATTTCTGGGGTGATGGAAAGAAGAAGAATGTAACTGGACAACGGAAAATTTAGCTGGACACTTGAATTAAGACTACTATGGTTCAAAAAAAAACCCCTGAGTGGTGATGGATGATCAAACATCTAATTTGTAAACATGTACATGTGCTCAGAGTTATATTCCTTCTTTTTCCCGTTGTTCAAAAAAAAACCCTGAGTGGTGATGGATGATCAAACCCCTCTAACATCTAATTTGTGCTCAGAGTTATATTCCTTCTTTTTCCCCTTGACTTGAAGTGCTGATAATAATTGTATTTAAAAAAAATCAAGACAAAATTATTAAGTAAATATTTCCAACAATATTGTGTCCCTCTCTGTAATATAAGACAAACAATTGGGGAGACTAAAAATATTTTCCTGTCTTGACAGGCGTCAGAAACTTCTACCTCCTGGAAAATCCTTGTATCGAGCGTTGTTGGATTCAGTCACGTTAAGTGATGAAAATGTCAAATTCCAAATTATTCATGAGGAAAATAAGGTGAGATCCCACCTAGCTTGAGGGTGCTTACAGAAAGAGTAGTTAATATTATCAACAAGTCTGATAATATTTGCAAGGTTTGAGATTCTTCAGTAATATATATTTAAGATATTATGCAAATTATCAGCCTAAAGATGTCCTTACCAGTCAGTATTTATTTGACATATTGAGACTGTGCAAGGAGAACAAGTATTTTAAGAACTTAAAAAAGAAAATCTTGAACGACTTTATGAAAAATTGGAATAGAATTCTTTTTATCTGAAAAAAATGTTTTTAATTCAGAGTTTTCTCCACTATTCCAAAATAATGAATTATTTTTGTGTAATGGAATAAGAAGACCTCTGTTCCATCACCTCCTGACCATACCTTTGTCTACCTGTGTTTGCTTAAAGGCAGGTTTTGGGGAAAAAGAAGTCTTCTTTGCATTTAAGAAGATAGCCAGGAAGAGGAGTGTCTCCTGTTTCTCTAATTTCTCTATTTCTCTAATTTTCCTATTTTTCAGCATAGCAGCTGGCACATTCCCTCAGGGAACAGGCAACCTAACCCGTCCTCAGATTATGGGAGTTTGGAAATACAGCTCTTTTCCATGCTCTAAGCATCACACTATGTAGATACTCTGCATAAATGTATTTTCTGCCTCTCCTCTTAGTCCTGACCTTCTTTGCAGTCGGCATAGAAAAAAGAGCCTATTTTTTGTCTAGATTTTAAGGTAGATGAAAGGCTGATGTCTCTGTGGCTTCCTAGACTGTTCGTGCATTCGTACAAAGATGGCATAACGTAAAATATTTCCTAGGAAGCATGATCTGAAACTCCAAATGAATCTTTTCTCTCTCACCTACTCTCCCTCTGGTGTTACAGCTTTTTTATTCTTTCAGGCCTATGAAGAGAGTAGGGGTGATTGGCTTCCAGGCAGAGGGAAAAGAGATCAGGCCAAAATTCTTCAGTCAGTTTAGTGTGTTACAGGAGGAGAGATTAAGAAAAGAAAAAAAACGGGAAAAAAATGGACTTGTGGTGTTAAGGATCCTCTACAGAAGTAAAATGAAGCATATTGTATGAGCTAGAAGAGAGTGACTTCCCAGTTCCCTGAACTCTAAAATAGCAAGTTACAGTGGGTGCACATTTTCTTTAAGTGTCTTCCTGACAGAGATCATCATTATCAGCACCACTCTGAAAACTAATGAACACAGAGCACTGACAGTTTTGCAAAAAGCCCACATCTCAGTAGGATCCCACTCCTGCATTGCCAGCACAGCTGTGAAATTGTCCAAACTTCAAGATTGGTGTATACTACCCCAGTTTTCCATGCTGCTTGTGGGCAGCTGCAAAACGCTAGATGTGGGAGACCTGAAGATAGAGAGTCCGCTTGAAAAGAGTCACTTCTTCAAAGGGGAGAGGTAGAGTTAACTGGTGTAAATTCATATGGATGATGATTGTTGCTCAGCCATGCTAAAGAACATTAAATCAGAAAGCAGGCATTTTTTCTCCAGACAGTAAGTGTTCGGTGACGTTGAGTTGAAAAGTAAGTTGGTATTTTTTATCACTACCAGTTTATCCGTTTGTTTGCTCCCAGGTTCTTCTACAAGTAGAAATTTATGAAATAGAAGGCAATATTTTCAGGCTTAAAATTGATGAGGCATCTCCTCTGAGAGCAAGATACAAAGTTCCTGATGTTCTTATAAAGGAACCTACCACCCAGAGGTAACTGATGGGAAGATGATTTAGCACCTCAGTAACTTCCGCAGCTTCATTTGCACGAGTGTTGTCCCTTCTCCCTCATTTGTGCTACACTACAGTTGTCTCTCTATAATACAAAGTTGTTACAGGAAGAGAAAATAAAAATGTGTGTGGTTAATTTACTTTCAAAAATTCTTGTTGAATACAGAGGAGAAAGTTTTGTCATATACATAGGAAACTTGAGGCTATTTGACCCCATCAGAAAATAGCCTCCTTGTTATGATGCATCATTTTTACCTGAAGCATTACTTGTTAATGTGAAAGGAATGTAAACTCTGGATCGTTTTCATGGCAGTTCTGTAGCCACCTGTGGCACTGTGCAGTGAACCCCCAACACAGCATGTATTTATTTCTGGCATTCTTTGCCTCAACATTAGCCTTGAGGTTTTTATAATGTATACAGATATTCTTACCCCATCTTTTGTTTCAAATGGTTCTTTGGTTACGGTGGATTTCACGTGCTGCTGATTCGTACTAAGCTGTTGTTGCTTTTCATTTGCCAGACTCTTCATATCGCAGAAGGAGGCAGGTATTTTGGTGCTGTCAAGTGTTAATGAGGACTACAAAGTTCAAATCACAGCAAACCCCTTCCAGGTTGAGCTACAGTCCAAGGGTGAGACTGTTATAAGCATGAATTCCAACGGGTTGTTATATTTTGAGCACCTACAACCACCTCCCAGTGACAGGTACAGTGTATGTCTGTCACATCATATTATGTAGTGATTGTATTGTAGCTGAAGATAAACAATTCCATGGAACTGTAATTTCTGTGATAGAAGCTCTTATGCATTGAAATCTGTCTTCTCTTTTACTTCATACGAGTAAGTACAATGGTGAAGTTTTAATGAAGAAATTCTAGATGAATTAACTGTAGACTGCTGTAATCCCTTGCAGCGGCCACGTGCAAAATGATAACCTCATTTAATGGCAAATTCTGTAAAACACTTGTCTTTCTGGGAAATGAGTGATGGTAGTATGAGGTAGATGAGGATGAGGTTATTAGTTTTGTCTCCTTTTATGACTGAACTTACTCTTTAGCTAAGTTTTATTCACCATATAAACTCATGAAGTAAGTTTTAGGCAGCTTACAACATGCCATATAGCTGCAAGATTTTACAGCTCAGTCCCACTGCAAAATGCTGGAAGGGTGGGAAACCACAGTGTAGGACATATCATGACCAGAAAAAGAGCATAGCAAGCATCTCTCCTCGAGAGCATTATTTCAAAAATTGTAATTAACAGAGCCCTTAATGGAAAATGACAAAGAAGTGAGGATCTTCTGGGTGGGAAAATCGCTAATGCAGATAGAAATAAATGTGAAAGGCCAAGAAATCAACCTAACTCAAATATGGAATGAAGGTTACTTTAAGACATTGAATATTAAAATGATTTGCCAGTTAGAGCTCTTAACATGACATAAATTTTCAGAATAGTCAAGCACGAACACTTTTATATAATATATAAGGCAATTCATAATGCTATATGATTTTTTTGTTTGAAATACTTCCTTACGTTAACAATAAACCAATGATTTCTGTCGGGTTTGTGGTTTTTTTTTCACTAGAGAACCCACAGCAGAAAATGAGGAGGCAGCAAGTGGTTCCTCAAAGGTAATCCAGGTTTACTGTGATTCCAGCATGAATATTTTGTAGAAAAGAGAATTAGAATCACATGTTCATTTCTCCTGGTGCTAGGTTTACAAACATAGTCTAACCACTTTCCAGTGAAATTCAAAAAGGATCTGGTATCAGTTACAAACACAAGATTCTGGAGAGTCTGGAGAATTTTTGGTTGTCTGACCCTTGCTATTTGGAGGAGAGGTTCGGTTTCTGTTTGTATAGGTTTTCCTGTTTGATTCCATCCATGCAATCTTTGCATTTCGTAATCACATTTGAAATCCAGGAGGAGGACATTTTTTACAGTGAGAACAATCATTCAATGGAAAAACCTCCCCAGGGACACTGTAGAGCCCCCATCACTGGAGGTTTTCAAGATGTAATTGGACAGGGTATTAGATAATCTCATCTAGGCTCCCTTTCCCACAAAAGGTTGGACCAGATGATCTTTTGAGATCCCTTCCAACCTATCATTTTATGATTCTATCCAAGCCCAAGCATATTACTTCTATGCTGTAGCAGAGTGCATGTGTGCTCCACTAGCACATCAGTTCTTCCATGTAAATTCCTGCATCAGGATCTGAATTATGTTTTGGATTTATTTATATTAACCATATGTGGCAAAAAAAGCAGTTAACAATGTGCAAATCTCATGTGAATAAACGTATTTTTCTTAGAAATATGTGGTTTGAGCAGTTGGGTTTGCTGGGCTTAGATATTTCTGTTTTTCTTTTTATGCAGGAGAAACAAGAGGATCTAGGTCTCTGGCAAGAGAAATTTGGCCATTTCTTAGACATCAAAGCTCATGGTAAGTCTCAGTCTAGTTCTGAAAACAACTTTACTGCTTTGTAGATACCTGTGTTTATTCATATTTCTGTCTGCTTTCTGTTTAGCTGCTTAATGTTTATCAGTGTCTTTCTCTCTCCTTTTAAGTTGCCTACTAGATACCAGTGATGGGTAACAAATTTGACAAAGGTACTGGGAATATTCATTAGATTTCTGTTCAGGAGGGAACACGTTAAATGTGACCCATTTCGTCAGCTCACTGTATGCCATTTCTGACACAGCATTGCCCTGACTGCATTGGCTGACTGGTATATAATGCATTACTTTCTTTTTTTGTTTCTTTGTTAGTATCAACACATAACATTGATTTCACTTGTAGTTTGTTCTCATGACATATCAGAAATCATGATACCTAAGCATTACTAATTGTCACAGCAAAAGTCTTTAAGTGGGTGACTACGAAAGGAAATACTGAGAAGTCTTAAGGGATAAGAAGAAGGTTATAGAAACATGTAGGTCAGCAGCTCAAATACAATTTAAATTATTAATTACCAAAATTTATGACCATCTGCTCTCTGTCCAGTTTTATTCCACATGAATTGAGTTGATTAGCTTTGTCCATTACCAGTGTCATTAAGACTTTTATAGCAACCAGCACTACCCAGCAGCTGCAGGAGGGAGAGGGAAATCTGAAAGAGCTTCTTTTTGGTGACAGGAGCTTCTTCGGTTCACAGATAAGATGCAGAGGGACAGGAAGCTGTTGCCTGTGTTGTTCATGCTGTTCAGGCCAGCATCATGTTTTTTCTGTTACCTTGTGTTGGAGGAATAAAGTCCATATGGGCAGGTTCTGATCCTGAAGCACCTGCTTGTCAGTCTGCGGGATCTGTGGTCACCTGCCAAAAGTTGCTTGGGATTGAGTAATATGACAAGATGATATCACTGCCAGAGGCTCTTGTGCATGCTGCTTCCATGGCTGAGGCTGAAGAGGAGTAGAAAACAGGCAACTCTGAGTCAAATGTCCACTCTGCTGTACCACTGTGCTGCAAAGCTTGGCTTATAGGTACTGGGATAGAAACAGGAGATAATTTTAAGCCGTTTCACTACAGACCCGCTATTCCATGTGGTTCTTTTCTATTGAAGGGATTAATTTTATCTTCTTAAACAGATCAAAATCAGAATAAAATCAGAATAAACATGATGAAGTCTGTTTAAAACATTACCTTTATAGTACATAAGTAATAATGAAAGTGAAGTTGAAATCAAGTATGAAAGAGCTAATTATTAAAACCTACTTTTCAATATTTTTTTTTCAGTTAGGTTGTTCTGCTCTGTTGCTTTCAGCTAAGCCTGAGAATGGAACTCTGTGATCTTCTCTTTGATTGTTATTCCCACAGGCCCTAGTTCTGTAGGCATGGACTTCTCCTTACATGGATTTGAACATGTTTATGGAATACCACAACACACAGAAGCACTTCTTCTCAAAAACACCAGGTAAAGGTGGCAGATTGCTACTGAGAGCAGTATTGTTGATGTAGAGGGGAGATACATCATTGTCTTAATAATTTAATGCACACAACAGCTTGAGATACGTATAGTATATAGTGTATATTTTAGTTTAATGATACAGCGAGCTGAATCATGGCCCCTGTCCACATGGAGTAAGTTTTTCTGCTTTCCCTTTTTGCTCTGCAATTTCATGAATGATTCTTTCTGTTCTCATTCAATTTTCCATGCAGTTTTTTTTCAGAATTGCAGGATTGCTCATCTAAGTAGAACTCTTAAAAGAGAAACTCCATGAGAGGATGGGAAAGTTCAGAATTTGTATTTTAGGACTTGGAGCAAATGAGCAGTAGTCTCACTGGAAGCAAAAATGTTGTTTGATTCAGATAGCTATGACCAAAGCCAAGAAGCAGTAGTCTAGGATGTCCACATTTCAGCTCTGAATGCTAACCGAAAGACCATGAGCTTTCACTGAGTTTAGTGTAAAAGCAATAGAGCTAAAATTGGCCCTGTGCAGGATGCTTACATATAACAAACACATCTGTCTGTTTGTCCTAGTGATGGCGACGCCTACCGGCTTTATAATTTGGATATCTTCGGCCACAAGATACATGACAAAACAGGCATTTATGGTTCTGTGCCCCTTCTCTTAGCACACAAGCCTAACAGAACTTCAGGGATCTTCTGGCTGAACTCTTCAGAAACGCTGGTGGATATTAGTACAAAGGCAGCTGAGGTGAGAGTTGCTCACTTTCTTCACAATTTAATAAGAAAACACTCCAGGACAGGGCCAACAGGAATATGACAACATTACTGGAGATTTATCTTTTGCTCCCTAGTAAAGAATTGTCAATCCCTTCCTCCTGTCCTCCCTACTGCTACATTTCTTATATTAAACCACTTGAAAAGAACAAGGTGATGACTCCTTTCAAGAGTCAAGTTACAGAATTTGTATCTTAACAGGTCTAGAGGAGAAGGCAGAGAGGAAATATATAATGTTGGAGCAGAAAATAATCTACACAGGTGGATGTAGCAGGCAGAAAAAAGGGTGGACAGAAATCTTGACAATCTCTTGGATTTGAGGAATTTTTCTGAAAAAAAAATATCTTGCTTTATTCCAGCACTTCATTACATAGTTAAAATTATCATTTTTCTTTATTATTCATGATATAGTTATGGCTGTTACTCAAAGATCCTGCAGAAAATGCATAGTCTTTAATTACAGAAAAGCTTTAATTACTTTGCCCCTCATTACCTATTTTTTCTCATTACCTCTGTATTTTGTATAAGCAGTATGGAAGGTAAAGGATTTGTGAAGGATGTATAAGAAAAGCTCAGTGTGTATTCCTAATAACTGCCAGGTATGTGTTAGTGAATTTTGTGGGTTTCTTTGTTCCTTCATTGAACAAAAGTTTGACAGAGAGAGAGATTCAGTTTTACCTTGGTTTCCTTCAAAGCACAAGCCACCTGGATGTGCTGCAGAGAGTGCTAAGCAGAGAGAAGTGCCTCTCACTGATGTGCGCTGGATGTCAGAAAGTGGGATCGTTGATGTTTTCCTGCTGATGGGCCCCACTGCTTTTGATGTCTTCAAGCAGTTTGCGCAACTGACAGGTACTAACTCACTTAATTGGAGTCAGTATAGCACATGCACCCGGGAGGTTCTCTGAGGAACACACTGTACCCACGAGTGGGTTAATATTTACCTAGCCCATTGTCTGCAGGAAGCCAGTTGTTCCCAAACTGCAGGTTGAGGAGCAAGGGCTGGTGCTTTGTGAAGGCAGGCCTACATCCTTGTTTTCCCTAGTGTCATGGTTACTGCTATCTGAGACTGCTCCCTTAGGTGAAGAGAGGAGACACAGAGGGCTAGAACTGCCAGTCACCATCAAGAGAGGATGCCTTATAGTGAGAAAAAACTGAAGTCACCTGGTGAGTAGAGAAAGAAGATAGGTGACTGTCCAGTGTGTCCATTAGGGAAGGGAGCAGAGATGTCATGCAGGTACGGGAAAGGAAAGAAGCAAGAGTGTCAGGAAGAGAATAAAAAAAATGGAGACAAGAGGACTAACATTTTATGAAAGAAAAAATCTTTGTGTACTAAAGAAAATTAAAAGCACAGAAACATCCCTGGTCGTTCTTCAGTGTGTTAGCAATGGTTGTTTGCTGCACCGATGTTATGGAGACAATGTGGTTCAGCTGAACAGGAATAGGAAAGTAGCCAGATCACAAAAGGATATTACAAAGCAGACGTATACACTCAGGAAGGTTTCCTGGCTCCATTTTGCCATACGCAGACATGTTTTCTCATTTTAAAAATTCCTAACATTGCAGTTCTGTGATTCTCCTTGTACTGCAGCACCTGTGGGTCTCTTTATACTACTCAGGGTCAAAGAAATTGCATTCTACTGATTAAAATCTATGTAATTGTTTGCATTAATGACAGTTAAGCTCATCTGGAATATTTTTACATGAGAAAAAATTAAAGAATAAAATTATATTGGTTACTGGAATAACATTTCAGCATCATGGTACATCAAGTTCCTTTTCACTTTTGTATTATGATTTCAGCCCTCTGCTCTTTCTGGCTGTTGAGCCCATTGTAGGGTTTGATATTTCCAGAGTTCAGCCACCTATGTGTGAAGGACATGCTTTAGACTCAACTTAGGCCAGCATTCCCTAGCTCCAGACAGTTACATATTAATCATTTTAACTTTTCTAGAGTCTCTAGATAAAATCCTGAAGGGCATTGACAGTGTTACCTTCATCCCTATACTCTTCCTAGGCACTCAAGCCCTGCCTCCACTTTTTTCTCTGGGCTATCATCAGTGCCGGTGGAATTACGAGGATGAGCAAGATGTGAAGGCAGTAGATGCTGGCTTTGATGAACACAGCATTCCTTATGATGTGATGTGGCTGGACATAGAGCACACAGATGGCAAGAGGTATTTTACTTGGGACAAAAAGAAATTCCAGAACCCCCAAAAGATGCAAGAACTTCTCAGCAAGAAAAAACGCAAGGTAAATAATATATCAGGAAAAGAAAAGATATTTCTTCGTAGTATGAAGTTACTCAATCTAGCTTTAAGCAAGGTACTTCAGATACTGAGGTTTAACTGCAGAGTTTAACTACAACAGAGTACATTAGGCTGTGTTGCTGTCTGCTTCCAGTGTGCAAAGTATTAATTCAGCTCCTCGTGCCATTTTGTAATTTTATAGTTTGTTCTGTGTCCTGACCATCAGGCTAAGTTTGACCCGTGTGAAGCTCCATCTTACAGAAGCAGCCCAGTGCTGTCCTTGGTGGGCACAGTAGAAAATCTTTATACTTAACACGAGCTTTTACCATTGGTAATTGCTGTACTTGCTTCAGCTTGTCTTTGTATTGATAATACTTTTTATTTTCTGCTTACACTAACTGGGATTGATTACCATAAACTAAATGTTTTTTTCTTCTGGTGAAGTCCAGTATGATGTGCATTCTGTTAGCTTAGTTAGTCTTTATTTCTGCTTTTACAGCTAAAATATTTCCCCTGGAATTATAGAGATATTAAAATGTACACGTTCATATGTAAAAGTTGTAGAATTGGTTAATGCTTTATCTTTGCCAAAAGTCAATGAACAGGGGACTGTTGCAATAACATTCAGGTTTTATAATCTCTTAGTTGGAGCTATAGTACTTTCTCAGCTTTACAGCAAGGAAGCAGAAAATAACTGCAAAATACAATAGCTGGATGGTTAAAAAGAAATAAAAACTTCTGTTGCTGTTGTATGCTGTACAAGCTAAGATATATTTAAATGTCTTAAGGTGAATTGTTTTAAGCAGGTACATGAACGTGGAAGTCAGATATTTTCTTATTCACGGAATACAGTAGTGAATTAAACATAGTGTTTTTAGGGGTTGTGGTACTTGCTTATATCTGAAACAATGTTTTTTGGCCCTTATTTCAGATGAGTAAGCACAAATCCATGACTTCCTTGTAAATGCAGCTGTTACACATAAGTCTAGCACAGCATATACAAGCAGTGGTAACTGCTTTCTAAAATTAGTGACATAGCTACCTTCTTTACCTGAAGTGAACTTATCTGCCTTTTATCAAAAGTGAATTCTTTCCTGGTTTATTTAGTACAGTTGATGCTAATGATATGTTTTATTTTCTTACCCTGGCAGCTTGTCGTCATTGTAGATCCCCACATTAAGATTGATCCCACATACACCCTGTATTCACAGGCAAAAGAGAAGGGATATTTTGTGAAAGACAGAAATGGACAAGATTTTGAGGGCATCTGTTGGCCAGGTAAAAAGCCACTTTGTCTCTACATTTCAAAGGAAAAATCAAGGACCAATTACATCTTCTAGTAGCATGGCAGGGTGGAATTATTCAGCTTCTAAGTGACACTTCCCTGTTTGAGCTCAAAATACCAGGGATGCTGTCTCTCCTTGGCTTCCTGTTCATATCTGAATGTATTTCAAACTGCTAGCAGTCACCCTTAAGTGGTGCTGAGTTTCAGACCTCGAGAATCGATGTCTGTTGGTCTGCAGAACGTGGCATGAGGTGCACCGAGTTCCAAGACAGCCTGGAACTTGCTCTTGAGCTTTTGTCTCACAAACAACAGCGACCACATTATTGCTGCCCACTTTGGAAAGCATCCTAGCTTTAGGCCACTGTATTTAGGTGCAAAGACAATGCATGCATGCTCTTAAAATCAGGTAAGTAATTGGGATCTCCCACATCCACAGGTTCCTCTTGTTACCTGGATTTCACCAATCCTGAAGTGCGAAAATGGTATGGAGACCAGTTTGCCTTCAAAACATACAAGGTGTGTATTTATTTGCTCTGATGTACATATCCCAGAAAGCTTGAAAATGGGGAAAAGATAAAAGATAGACTACTGGCTAAGCAAACTGGTGGCTTTTGTAGCTGTATTATCATAATGTTAGCTTTTACTGCCATGACAGCACACAAGGAGTGATCTCTCATGGCTCATAGTTACTTCATTGTGGACTTCTTCCAGCATTCTTACCTAGCACTGAAAGCAAGCAGCAGTAGGATGGACAAACTGCCAGCGTTTTAGCAACCCATAATCTAACACAGCTGCTGCAATTCCAGCTTTTACTGCCGTGACAGCACACAAGGAGTGATGTGGGAATGCTCTCTCATGGCTCATAGTTACTTCACCCTGGACTTCCTTCCAGCATTCTTACCTAGCACTGAAAGCATCTGGGTGAACACTGCTGGGCATCTCTAGTTCCCCCCTCCCTGCCCCAACATTCTGCTTTGCAGGAGGGTTGTTGAAACCACTACCCTAGTCGACGTGTAGTAGACATTTCCCATGCTGCTTTTCCTCTCCAGTTTTTCTCTTCTGGACTTCTCTGATTTTTTTCCTCGTGGCTATTTAATACCTCTCTTTTCCTTGTCTCTTTTCCCTCACCAGAAGGCAGGAATAGCAAATACCTACTGAGTTTTGTAAAAACTACAGAAATCAAGTGGGCTTGTAGGCTGCCGTGCTGACCAGCAGTTCCCCCCTCCCTGCCCCAACGTTCTGCTTTTCAGTAGGGTTGTTGAAACCACTACCCTAGTCGACGTGTAGTAGACATTTACCATACTGCTTTTCCTCTCCAGTTTTTCTCTTCTGGACTTCTCTGATTTTTTTCCTCGTGGCTATTTAATACCTCTCTTTTCCTTGTCTCTTTTCCCTCACCAGAAGGCAGGAATAGCAAATACCTACTGAGTTTTGTAAAAACTACAGAAATCAAGTGGGCTTGTAGGCTGCCGTGCTGACCAGAAGGGCCATCAAGAGAGATGAGATGAATGACTGGCAGCTTTCAAGTGACCACAGGAGTAGAATTACCATGTCTTGCTTTGCTGCTGCTGTTTCTACCAGTACCCTAGACTGGTCTGACACCCACTAGAGATAAACACACTAATGTCACAGCAATGGCTATGTTCTGTACTGATTACAACCCTGTGTCATAGGGATCCACTAATATCCTCTTTGTGTGGAATGACATGAATGAGCCTTCAGTCTTCAAAGGGGCAGAACTAACAATGCAGAAGGATGCTGTGCACTACAACAACTGGGAGCATCGAGAAGTACACAACCTCTATGGCTTCTACCAGGTAGAGTATCTGGAGACACTAAGTATAGATATTGATAGATTTAAAATAATCTCTGTGATTGGTCACAAGAAAATGTAACAACATGCAAGCCTCTGCCATAACAATGTAAATTGCATTGGCTGTGACTACACAATAGTAACAATTGGTTTTGGTCAAGTATATTCTAGTAAGAAAGTATTTCTTTAATAATAAATATTATTTGTGGGTACAGATTTCTTATTTTTCCTGCCTTGAAAAGGCTAAAAAGGCAATGTAGAAAGTATCCTAATTATGGAGTTTATCTTCCTGACATTTATGTCTATGATTTTCAGCAAATGGCAACTGCAGAAGGACTCATCAGACGTTCTTCAGGAAAAGAGAGACCATTTGTCCTCACCCGATCTTTCTTCGCTGGATCACAGAAGTATGGTAAGTAAGGACTAGCTGGATGCCTTCCATGCTGCTTTGTTTTATTAAGTTTGGTGTGTAGTAGTCAAGTCTAGAGAGGACAGAAACTATCTGAGAAATACAGACGCATAAGAGTGCAAGTGATTAAAAAAAAATCAGGGGAGGCTGTCAAAATGCGTACAAGTTAAAGGCAGAAAAACAACTTGTGTCTCGTGACAAACCACTACCTGCTCTTACTGCATATTCCAGGAGCAGGTGCGTATAAAGAAAAAACAGTTACAGTGAACAGCAGTTCACCAGTAGTTCATGACCATTCTTGTCTTCTTTCCTTAACTGCAAGCATAAGCTGAAGCATACACCCAACTTTCCTGTGTAATGCTGAAACTGGGTATTTCCAGGGGCAGTGTGGACTGGAGACAACAGGGCAAAGTGGGCTTACTTGAAAATCTCCATTCCAATGCTTCTCACCATCAGCATGGCAGGGATTTCATTCTGTGGAGGTAAGGTGTTCAGCTAGAGTTGCTCACTATGCATAAATCACGGGTGCCACCAAGCTTGTATCCCAGGAGAGACTTCAACACAGATGGCATAAAGCTAAACAGTCCAAACAATTTCACAGAGTAGTCTGATTTCAGATGCCAATAACCTGGCTCTCACCATCATTTCTCCACTAACTCCTATGTAGTCTTTGTGTCCCACCTGGAGCAGCAGTCCTCAGGTGGTGTTTCGTAGCATCACTGTGACAGTCCTTTGTCACTGGGGAAAAAAGATAGACTACTGGCTAAGCAAACTGGTGGCTTTTGTAGCTGTATTATCATAATGTAGAGGAAAATATCTTGATAAGCTAAAGTACCACTGAGGAATTTTCTCCATGGACTTGCCTACACTAAGAAAGTTGGAACCCATGTGCCTCCAGTGAACCTGCTCACTTAGTAGCAGCAGTAGGATGGACAAACTGCCAGCGTTTTAGCAACCCATAATCTAACACAGCTGCTGCAATTCCAGCTTTTACTGCCGTGACAGCACACAAGGAGTGATGTGGGAATGCTCTCTCATGGCTCATAGTTACTTCACCCTGGACTTCCTTCCAGCATTCTTACCTAGCACTGAAAGCATCTGGGTGAACACTGCTGGGCATCTCTAGTTCCCCCCCCCTGCCTCTGCCATAACAATGTAAATTACATTGGCTGTGACTACACAATAGTAACAATTGGTTTTGGTCAAGTATATTCTAGTAAGAAAGTATTTCTTTAATAATAAATATTATTTGTGGGTACAGATTTCTTATTTTTCCTGCCTTGAAAAGGCTAAAAAGGCAATGTAGAAAGTATCCTAATTATGGAGTTTATCTTCCTGACATTTATGTCTATGATTTTCAGCAAATGGCAACTGCAGAAGGACTCATCAGACGTTCTTCAGGAAAAGAGAGACCATTTGTCCTCACCCGATCTTTCTTCGCTGGATCACAGAAGTATGGTAAGTAAGGACTAGCTGGATGCCTTCCATGCTGCTTTGTTTTATTAAGTTTGGTGTGTAGTAGTCAAGTCTAGAGAGGACAGAAACTATCTGAGAAATACAGACGCATAAGAGTGCAAGTGATTAAAAAAAAATCAGGGGAGGCTGTCAAAATGCGTACAAGTTAAAGGCAGAAAAACAACTTGTGTCTCGTGACAAACCACTACCTGCTCTTACTGCATATTCCAGGAGCAGGTGCGTATAAAGAAAAAACAGTTACAGTGAACAGCAGTTCACCAGTAGTTCATGACCATTCTTGTCTTCTTTCCTTAACTGCAAGCATAAGCTGAAGCATACACCCAACTTTCCTGTGTAATGCTGAAACTGGGTATTTCCAGGGGCAGTGTGGACTGGAGACAACAGGGCAAAGTGGGCTTACTTGAAAATCTCCATTCCAATGCTTCTCACCATCAGCATGGCAGGGATTTCATTCTGTGGAGGTAAGGTGTTCAGCTAGAGTTGCTCACTATGCATAAATCACGGGTGCCACCAAGCTTGTATCCCAGGAGAGACTTCAACACAGATGGCATAAAGCTAAACAGTCCAAACAATTTCACAGAGTAGTCTGATTTCAGATGCCAATAACCTGGCTCTCACCATCATTTCTCCACTAACTCCTATGTAGTCTTTGTGTCCCACCTGGAGCAGCAGTCCTCAGGTGGTGTTTCGTAGCATCACTGTGACAGTCCTTTGTCACTGGGGAAAGCACTCACTTAGAAAGCTCTCTTGAGATTATTAAAAGATAACTTGTTACACCAGTTTTCCATTCTTATTTGGACAAGCAGCTGCCCAACAGCAGAACCGCAAGCACACTGTGAAATGCATGGATTTACACACTTGGAATGTTTGTTAGAGGAGTACTTCACGTTTTTCAGCATAATTTCCAAAAATATGTATTTTTATTTGTCTGTGCGATATCTAGCGGATGTGGGAGGGTTTATTGGAGATCCAGAACCGGAATTACTTGTTCGCTGGTATCAGGCTGGAGCCTACCAGCCCTTCTTCAGAGGCCATTCTATCATGAAGAGCAAACGGCGAGAACCGTGGCTCTTTGGGGAGAAGAACACCCGGATCATCAGGGAAGCCATCAGAGAGCGCTACCTTCTCCTGCCGTACCTGTACACACTGTTCTATCGGGCACACACAGCGGCTGAGCCCGTCATGAGGTAAGAGCATAAGTCAGGAGGTTTGGTCGTTATGTGCAGCTGGGAGGAGGGAAGTTAAATTACCATCTCTTACTTTTTTATTACTTATTTAAATATTAAAAAAAAGAAAAAACACACAAAAATTACCAAGTTGTAGTTTCGTGCGGTCTGGTAGTGTTCTCAGAGGAAAAAATACATGGTTTGGGTTTTTTTCCAAATGACGCCTGGAACACACTAATTCAATAGACACTACACAGCCTGTAATGTATTTAAAATACCATGGACTGCAAACTGAAAAAACACACAAAAAGTACCAAGTTGTAGTTTCATGCAGTCTGGTAGTGTTCTCAGAGGAAAAAATACATGGTTTGGGTTTTTTTCCAAATGACGCCTGGAACACACTAATTCAATAGACACTACACAGCCTTTAACATATTTAAAATACCATGGACTGCAAACTTCTCCTCATGATAAATAACATTACATGGTATTCCAACCCACACTTAAACCAGAGCTGAATGGACTCAGAACTTGGTGACCTAGAAACATTTTGCCCCTCATGAAAATACTTGTTACTGCTCAGTTGTTACTGTTATAAAAGCTAATTTCATATTGCTAATTTGATCATTTATCTCTGTAGTATTTCTTATAATTTTTCTTTTAGTAGAGAATCTAATGATCTAGAATAGAAATGAAATTAGAAGATAAACTTTTTCTCTGTTACCTCTAAGAAAGTGTCCTGGTGGAACTGAATGCAACAATCCTTTCACCAAGGAATGAATGTCATCAATTTTCCTGGTGTTGCTGTGTCTTTGAAGTTGCCCTAGAATTCTCCCTTTGCACCACATTTACCTTTACTTGTTGTTATGCAAATAACAACCTAAAGTTAAACCTAAGGTTTAAAAACATAAATGTCTTTTTGAAAAGGGCTGAGTGGTTTGAGTTTTGAAAATGATTTGCATTAGACAGTGTGAACATCTGTCTGCACATGTAAAGGCGTAGATGCCCCTCTTGTGTGCACTGACACAGACACTGGGTTTCTGTCTTTCTTGAAATGAAGCTTATGTTGACGTGTGCACTGCCCACAATATTAAATAAAACTTTGATTATGTTAAATTTGCTGCAGTAGGTACAGAATTAGAGAGGAAGCACGGTATTTTTTACACTGAGACAAGCAGAATGGAAAATGTGTCTTATTAGCAAGCACATAACCAGCAGAGCTGCAGCAAACTAGTAGATGGTCATGAGTGAGCACATGAGCCAGGCTTTTTGTGTAAGGAAACCCAGACCCTGCCTCTGAATGAGCTATTATTGCCCTAATCTCTTTGAATATACAACACCTGTTCTATAACCAGATGGTTAATGCAGTACCCTTTTTGAGAAAGACTGAAATTAAATTTCTGGTGCAGGTTTTTCAGTTGTGACCAGGAGGAGACACGCTGTAAAAGCAGTGGTGAGCTGCTGAGAACAGGAAGGACTGTGCTGCAGGGACTAGCTCATCAGTTGTCTGCGTTGCTGGCAGACTGTGACAGAAAGGCTCATCCATCTCTCCTTTGCCAGAAGGAAGGGATACGTAGTGCAAGTTTGTAAGGAAGAATCACAGAATCTTCTAGGTTGGAAGGGACCTTAAAGATCATCTTGTCCAACCATCAACCTAATTTTGACAAAAATAGACACCCACACAACAAACAAAAAGCAACACCATCACTAAACCATATCTCCTGGCACTCCATCAACCCGTCTTTGGAACATCTCCAGGGATGGTGCCTCAACCACCTCCCTGGGCAGCCCATTCCAATGGCTGATAACCCTTTTGGTGAAAAAATTTTTCCTAATATCCAGGCAGGGTGGAAGAAAGTGAGGCTGCAGGAGGCCAAACCATAGGTATATCAGAATGTCTGAACCTATGTTATACTGGAAACTCTCATCAGTGACTCAAAAGGAGTACTTTAAATAACCCATGTTGTACTGGAAACTCATCAGTGACTCAAAAGGAGTACTTTAAAGCACAGAAGAGGACCTTGCCCTATCTTCACTTCTTGATAGCTTTACCTTGTAAAGAGAGGGAGAAAATGGAACCTGAAAATACCAGGTGGTCTTGAACAGACTGGTGGGAGAGGAGAAACTAACTGAATCTCACTATCTTTCTTCCTACAGGCCTCTCTGGGTAGAGTTCCCAGGGAAAATAGAAACTTTTGGTGTGGAAAATGAGTACATGCTGGGTAAGCAGGTGTCTTCTCATTCTCTGGAATTGGAGTTAAATATTTTTGAGGTGATAGTGTGTCACGTGACAAAAAGAAAACATGAAAACTCTGCCCAAGACCTTTAAAAATTATAGCATAACTGAAAATAGAACTTGAGGCCTCCTTAAGGGACCCAGTTTTAAGAGCACTGTGAAAATAGGGGTCATATGAGATGCAAAAACTGAATTCAGTCTCACTTTGAAAAAACACAGTCTCTTCCACCTGGACCATGGAAGTTTGTTCTAGTAGCTAAGACTACAGTCTGTTTCAGAAATGACGGTAGCAAACAGCTACCGTTCAGTCTCACTTTGAAAAAACACAGTCTGTTTTGACCTGGACCATGGAAGTTTGCTCTAGTAGCTAAGACTACAGTCTGTTTCAGAATTCAGTCTCACTTTGAAAAAACACAGTCTCTTCCACCTGGACCATGGAAGTTTGTTCTAGTAGCTAAGACTACAGTCTGTTTCAGAAATGACGGTAGCAAACAGCTACCATCCAAAATGACTGGTTTTCACTCTGATATGGCTGGCTGCTAAAGTCAGTTTTCTCAGATGAAGCTTAAGCAATGGGTGTGTTTGTGTAAAGCACATTGAGCTGATAGGGAAGAGAGAATGGGAGGGGAATGTTGCATTTAATTATTTTTTTGTTACCTCTGGGCTCAAGAATGCCTACTAATGGCTTTCAGATGAGGGGACATTCACTTCTCAGGCAAAAGTCTGACCAAGGCAGGTAGGACACAGCAGCAAAGCTAAGTGCAGTGAAGCAGAGCATTTCAGAGGACTCTGAGAGTTCAGCCTCATCAGCAATGAAGCAAGGAGGGAAGTTTATCAAACTGTACAGTCTATATACATTAATATATTTTTTTTAGGAATAAATAAGAACCATCCTCAGTGCAATAAGCTTAAGCAGGTTTGGTTATGCAGCCTTGAGCACCACAGCCATGTTTATGTTTTTCTCCAGGAAACGCTTTGTTGGTGCATCCAGTCACAGAGCAAGAGGCCAAGGCAGTGAGTGTTCTCCTTCCAGGGACACAGGAGGTGAGAATAAATATGAAGTTGCACAAATCTTAGGTATCCTGTAATTAAATTTCCCCTCAAGACTTGATGCTTCTCATGAAACATCAAAAAACATCTTCATTAAATTGTCAATTCCCTTTTTTCACTTATTTCTTTGTGGGTTAAACTTCTCTTTTATGTAGAAGAAAAGGGATCTTTGAAGAAAGGTCATAAGTAAAGTCGGGGGAAGCTGTGGGGAGGGAAAATCATAACAAGGAAATAAAAGCATCAATAGGCTGGGTTGTGTGTAGCAAAGACTGACATGTAGAGATCAGTTCCTCTCCGAAGTAAAGTTGTTTATCCACAGGATGGCACTGTGATCCACTCCTACAAAGAGCCTTTGGCTGCAGCAGCTGAGAGGTGGAGGAAGGGAAGGAATTTGGGGAAAATAGTTCCTAAGGGAAAGCCTGAGACTCTAGAAAGGAACGAGAGGAAAGAGAGCAGCAAAGGGAAGTGTGTGGGACTATGCAGAGCCTTATGACTCCATTAATGCATCTGAGGATACAGACTAGGCTCTCCAAACAAGTTAAGAAAAGTATTTTTATCAAGTTCTCTATGGGAATTGGCTGCCTGGCACACTGAAAGCAGTTACACCTGCTGGCATGGGAAGTTTCAGATGTAGCTCTCTTTTGTGACCTGTTATTAGCAACTTTGTTGTTAATTTTCACTTCGATATAAATCTGCTTATTCTGGAACTCAGCATTTCTAGATTAAAAAAAACAAAGAGCAGTATTTCATTGTTTTGCATTTCCAGGTGCTTTAAGACGTACAAGATGTTATGCAAACTGTAGAATAGATCAGCTTATCTTTGTGTTTCAGGAATAAGCATTTATTCCTTCCATCCAGAAGGTTATTTGATTCAAAAAGTAAATGCTATTTCTTGCACATCAAGTAGGTTGTTAGGAATAGTGACAGTAAGGTTAAGCAAGAGAGCTACTGCATCTGCAGAGGGAACAGATCATGCCATATGTAATGCTCATTCTTTTTTCATTTTTTCTAGATTTGGTATGATTTCAGAAAATTTAAACGAATGGAAGATCCAGGCACACTGAAGATCCCAGTAACACTGGAGAATGTATGGTTTCTTTTTAAAATATTACTTCCATTGACCAGAAAAAAAAATACAGGCTTTTGTTTTGTGAACATTCAAAATCAGAAAAGTTGACATTTCAATTTTTGTGTAGAAGTGTAACGTAAAATGGGTTTTGTAGAGAAGAAAATCCTATCTCCTCTGTCGTTAGATGGAACACTAATATGTCCTGGTGGTGATTAAAAGTGAGATGATGGAAAGGTGACTTCTCCAAGCAAAGATATTTCACTTGCACACATACAGGAAGATTACTGCTGTTCCCATTGTTAGTTGGATAGTTTCTCTGTGTACTTGTGATAAAAGCTTATTTTGAGCTTTAATGAGAGCAAGCTTCAGTTATCCCTGTTCCAGGTTAAAATTATGTGATCAGAGTAGATGAACCTTTCTACCCTGGATTTTTTTCTTTCTTCAGATTCCTGTATTCCAGCGGGGGGGCACTGTGGTACCTCTGAAGACCACGGCTGGAAAATCCACAGAATGGATGATAGATATTCCCTATGAACTCCGCGTGGCCCTGGACACAGAGGTACTTTGAGATGATGTTCCCTTTGCAAGGTTGCCTTTTATTCCATCTGACCTTTTTATGGTCCTCGCTGCCTGTTCCATCAGCACAATGGTATCTGTATCTGTATGATCTGTATGCCAAATGGCTCTCCTGCATGTCTCCTGTTTGGGGGGCTCCCACCTCCCTCCCATCTTATGAACTCCACGTGGCCCTGGACACAGAGGTACTCTGAGATGACATTCCCTTTACAAAGTTGCCTTTTATTCCACCTAACCTTTTTATGGTCCTCACTGCCTGTTCTATCAGCACAATGGTATCTGCATCTGTATGATCTGTATGCCAAATGGCTCTCCTGCATGTCTCCTGTTTGGGGGGCTCCCACCTCCCTCCTATTGTTCCCTTAAAATGATACTGAATATAGCAGTGGCAGAACATTTTTCTGACCTTTCTAATCCCACCTCTAGTCCTTTGGAGAAAAGAACAGAGAATGAGCAGGCCACAAACTTCCTCTTGGACACAGAGAGAACTTCCCCCAACTGTCTTTGCTAATAGATGAGGTGACACCTGGCACCCACATCAATTTACAAAACCAGGATGTCCAAGTCTTCAAAGCACTCTCAGAGCTGGACTCCCTGAGCCTTCCAGGGATACAAGTCATTAAATAAAAATAAACACACACCCTTCATAAAGCAGGACATACTGTGAGACATTTTTAGTTTCTTTGTCCAGCACTAGAAGCTGCTGTTAATTTCTACTCCTCCTGGTGTGTTTCACAGGCCTGTGCAGTAGGTGAGCTCTACCTAGATGATGGCCATTCGTTTCAATATCGTGACAAGAAGCAGTTCCTGTATCAGAAATTCACTTTCCAGAAGAACATTCTGTCTTCCAGGTAACAGCAATTATGGACAAAACCCACCAACACACTGTCGTTGGAAATGCCTTTTCTAGTTCATCAGGCTTTCTTACAGGTGTAGAAGTATTAGTCTTGTCTATTGCTTAGTGAAGTCCCAGAGCATGCAGAATCTGTTATAAAACTGGAGAGTTAAACAATGTTTGGTGTTAAGTCTAAGGGCTGCAGTGCATGCAATACTAAGTTGTCTCATTGTTTCAGTCTAGTCAAATCTGCAGATTCTACAGATTTGCTCAAATACAAAGAAAGTCATCAGCAAGAGTAAAGCCTATCAGAGAAAAAAAAGATCAACTGGGAGGTTTGCAAATAGGCAACACCTGGAGTGCTTGTATTTTCTAAGATAAATTTTTCTAAGATCTTCACTGAGAGGGTGGTCAGTCACCAGAACAGGCTGCCTGGGGAGGGGGTCAATCCTGTCAGAGTTCAAGGAGCAACGATGCTTTTTGTCATACAAGACAAAAGAAGATAAACTGGGAGGTTTGCAAATAGGCAACACCTGGAGTGCTTGTATTTTCTAAGATAAATTTTTCTAAGATCTTCACTGAGAGGGTGGTCAGTCACCAGAACAGGCTGCCTGGGGAGGGGGTCAATCCTGTCAGAGTTCAAGGAGCAACGATGCTTTTTGTCATGCAATTTAGTTTTAGGTAGTCCTGCAAGGAGCAGGACGATTTAGTTTTAGATAGTCCTGCAAGGAGCAGGGATTTGGACTCAATGATCCTTATGGGTCCCTTTCAACTTGAGATACCCTATGGATCTGTGTAGGAGCCACGAACAGACACCATTACATATAGTGTCCAAAAGACATCTACAAATGCGCCATCTATATATTAGCATAGTAAAATATACAAGAAAAGCATTTGAAAGGAAGCACGAAGGGACAGAAGCTGCAAAGGTTGAGCAAAACAACCTAAAAGCCAAAATTATCCATAACTGCTTGTAAGGAAAGCGATCCTAAATATGTCACTGTGACACTTTTACTATTGAGGTGCATTACCCATGGGGCTGTACAGTACATAAATGGTGATTTTACAGGCATTTCTTTATTCCTTCAGGGTTCAAAAAATATGCAGGAGATCCTAATACTATAAAATTCAATACAGAGCACAACTGTAGCTTGGATAACGTAGCTAAAAGGGTGCTTCAAATCTTTTTTTATCTGGGATTTGAAAGGCTTAAAAATTCAGGATGGAAAAAAAAATGTTGCTAAACTTCTAGCAAATCTAGAAGTTGAAAAAAGTCATTTTGAGATGAATGATAGAACTGTCCATTCTGGAAAGGAAAGCTTCATTATGATTTGAGGGGGTGTTAGAGTTTTTTAGTAAAAATTAAACTAGTTACAAAATGAAGGATAACTGCGCCTCAGACAGAAACATATTACTTGAAAAATGTTAAGGTTAGCTTTACATTTATACTTAGGAGCTTTGATTACCATCTAGCAAAAATCCAGAACCTTCTGATTGTCAAAGCCATGCTTTTTGCCACAAAGTATCTTCCCAAATGTTTTTTTCCTCTAACTTTGTGAAATCTGCTATGCAGTAAAAAAGTAGTTGATAGTGGGAAAAAGTTGTACTTGTTTTAGGAGAAAGGTAAACAGAGGAAAGGAAACCAGTATAAGGGAACTTCCAGGGTGAGACTGAATTAGCACTCTCTCTGCATGATGCTGAACTTTTACAGATGGACAGAAGGTAATGTATATGAAATTATTTTCTGTTTTCAGGAGCACAGGTGAAAGTGGACAATACCACACTACCTGTGTGGTTGAACGGGTGATAATTCTGGGATTTGGACAGGACCCCACTTCTGTGACAGCCTCTTCCAAGGGTAATGAACTGACTTTCATTTTACTCTGATTATCTGAAATACCGTTGCATTCCTGCCACTCACTAGAGGTGGCAAACTGACAGCTCTATAAAGGAGGTGATGTAGCATGGGGAGCATCTTTGTTTAATTTTATTTGCTACTTTTTGACTATTAAGGACAGAATTTAGTGAAAGGAGCCATCAGCTACTGACCACAAATATTACGTGCAGAATTAGAGAACACTTACTTTGTAAAGCAATAGATACATCAGTAAAAGTGGTTCAGAATTAACAAGTTCAGATAACTTTGTCCTCCACAGAATATGACTAGAGATAGCATTTCAAATGAAGAACTGTTTGCTTGGATCTGTAAGCCTGCCTAGTCTAGAACAGGAAACTTGGAGACAAAACCAGAATTACCTTCATGTTCTCTTGCTCATTCAAAAGCGTCTGGAGTTCTTGACTATGTGGGGATCTCTAGAAGTTGTGAGGGACCCCATACAGATAGGCAGCGGCATCTAGAGAAAGGGCTTATCATTTCTGGCTGCTTTCTTCACTTTGGGAATCATGTGGACATGGACTTTCTGCCTCCACCTGTCAATCTTGAGGCTTTTTAGGGTGCTTGGAAGAAAACCTATGCTGCAACAAGGGTTATTTTTTTTGGAAAAATCCTTGAATAGTTCCATAGTTTGATAGGTCAGAAAAAATAGTTTTTCCAATTCTGCTACATTCTTATGTGTATACTGGGCAGATTTGACTACTGTTTCTTTTAATCAATCTTTCCATCAGTGGCAGGGACAGTCTGAATTAAAAACTGGAGGGAGTCATGTGTAACTGCATTTCAGAAGGGTTCTTCTTAAATCTTACGGTAAACTCTCTTGTCCTGTTCAGGTGGGAAAGAAAAAAAAGTGGTTTTCACATACGATATGAAGACCTCTGCACTGACACTGGAAAATTTAGCCCTGAGAGTAGATGCTGACTGGGCGATTCGCATCAACTGAAGAGAGACACGACTTCATCAGAGAATTTATTGAGAAGGTGGGGGGAAATAAGTTGGGAGGGCTTAAAATGCTCACTTGGATCCAATCAAATCAAGGAACGTAATTTCCCAGCTACATCCCAAACTAACATTTCTGACAATTTTTCGTTTAAAGCAGTAATTTAGACTTGGATAGCTTTTCTCTTTGGCAAAAACAACAGCACTCGTGTTGTATCTTTGGAGAAAAAAGCTAAATACTATCTGGTCCAGGCTAGCTTCAGTTAGGCATTAAAACTGAGTTCTGCCTTCCCTTCACTTGCTCCAGAAAAATCAGAAATTGATAGGGTGTGATTGTGACTCATCAGCAGAGGGTTTAATGTAAGTATTTGGAAATCCCACTGTTCAGAGACGAGTTCTTGAGAAGAGCAGATCTGGGCATCAGTAGATGTGCCAGATGCAGAGTTACTGTCAGAGTTCTGCCTGCAGACTGCCTTGTGAACACAAACCCAGGAGCCACTCAATGTCCTTACAGACACTTCTCCTTTCCAGTCCTTGTGACAATGGCTAATCAGGCTTTCTGTACACAGGCAAGCGAACACCAGGCCAAAGAGTTTAGTCATGAAAGCTAAGATTTGAGTAGGTTGTGCCAGTCAGTTGTGCAATAGCAAAAGCCAGTAGTGTTGCACTGCAGAAGTCTCTCCAATAGCTGGCTTTGAAACTGATATTTGGATTTTGAAAAGGCACAGGTCTATTTAAGTGCAATACTGGCTTAGGGTAGCAGCTAGGCTCACACAGAAACATCTTCCATGTTACTGCTCCCCTCTCTCTGCAAGTACTACTTTTCAAACAAAAAAAAAAAAAGTGTTTTGTTAGAAAAGAATTGGCATTTTTGGATGACTGAATATCATTGATTAAAGCCAGCCCAGTGAAGCAGCTCTGCTTATGGAGACCTCTGCTTCTCCGCATCTTCCAACTCTTGCCAAGATTTGCCTTCCTTTACACATATTTTAGTAATTTCTTGGTCAGTTTTTAGGATCTGACTGAGATTTGAGCTTGGTACTTACGAAGCAAATTTTTAGTTTTAATGGGACTAGTTCTATATCGAGTCGTCCCACTTCATGCTTATTCCTCTCTTAAAACTCATCCTAATTTCCCTTCCCTCCTTTCCCACCATCTCTGCAAGCAGAATTAGTGTGTCCTGGTGCTTTCTTCCCTTTCAAAACTAGGAGTCCTCTATCCCTTAAATCCTGCCTGTTCCCACAGCCGTTTCAGTATTAGCCCTCTCTTTTGGCAGGCTACCATTGCTCCATGGCTCAAGTTGTTTGCCCTTTCTATTTGCTACACTTGTCAACTCTATTATTTTTAAAACCAATTCAGATTTGAGTCAAATCTGAACGAGTATCCTGTTGGCTTTTGTGGACATAAAAGGGAAAAATTTACTTGATTTCTTTTAGCAAGATAAGGAAGTTTTTTCTAAAAGCATTGATAAACTAACTCTCAGGGAATAGGGAATGGAGAAGGATGGTCACCATTTTTGCCAATTAAAGGCAAATTAAACCGTCCATTTGTACGTTGTTCCCTGCTCTTCTTACTAAGGCTTCCCCGTGCTTGGTCAGTCATTCCCACCTGCTGCTGTTTGTCCTCTGCAGGGCAGATTTCTGGGAACACAAGTGTGAGCGCAAACTGTGACTGCTCCGCTCTTGAATACCAAGTGTGGTTTGTTCCCCACCACGGAGCTCTGCGTACGAGACATAACAGATGAATTTTTGTACTGGGCAAGAAGGGAGGACATGAAGGAAAGAACAACCACATAGGCTCCAAAATGAGCATTTTTGCTGACGCTGTGCAGTGGGAGGCCCTTGCATCACACTACTTGCATTGCTCTTGAAATATCCTGGAAAGAGTGACACACGGCTCTGCCAAGCTGTCCTTTGCTTCTTTTATTTAAGCGCATCAGTGCTTCTTGCAGGCTGTAATTAGTGTCTGGGACATTTTGTTAAAATGTTTTAACTGGCATTTTTGAAGTTGGAAAGTAAGTGAAATAAAGTAACAATGAAGCGTGTTACATGCCTTATTCCTTCCAACCTTCTTTCTAGTGTTGAGAATCATTACAAAGTATTCTTCTAAGGGTCTCTGGATAAAGGGAAAGACTGTTTTTTATACTCTGGCCCTCAGTATGATATCTGCACTGTAGTATATACTCATGGGTTAAATTTTCAGTGGTACAAAGTGCCCGACTTCTATAGATCTTCAGCAACTAATTCCTATTGAAATCACCGTCTTTAAATGTTCCCCTAGTTGAGGTTTTTTTAATGAGTTGTAGAGATTGTGCATTGTGCTATTGATTGGAAATGTGTAAACCAAGCAAATGGCTGAGAAAGAAAAAGGAATTGGTGCTTTGGAAAACATTGTAGTACTAGGGCAGAAGGTCAGCAATGAGTACATGAGCCAGAGTCCAGAGACAAGTGTCATTAGGGCAAAAATAACACTGAAGTCATTTCAAAGAATATAATTTACATTGATATTTTTAGCAACTCGCATACTTCTCCACATATCTATGCCATAAAGGAAGAAATAAATTTATAGTATATCATTACAAAAAAAATAATTGAATTCAATCAGTGAAAACAACTATAGATAAAGCTTCATGAAAATGAAATAGAAAGGTTATCATCCATGTATTTCACTTTTTCTCTGTCTGAACAGGTCGGGTATTGGGGTACTTCTGCTTGCAAAAAATTCCATTGTAAAAGGTGATTTAATTCCAAAGGGTTTATTTTGCTGTTTGTAGCAAACAGCACATCCATTCTTCTCTATGGTATCCTGAGTTTCTTTAAAGACACCATTTGTCTTTTACTAGCAACTACTGTTTCTCACAAAAAAAGACCTATATAACAAAAACATCTGTGCAGTAAAAGATAAGAAAAGGAGAAGCTGTTTTTTGAACAGGTATAACTACGTAATACTCCTGAACATCCATAAAGATTAACTCTGGGTTAGAAGTGAGAAGTGTGTGCCCACCTGCCATCCCCTGTGCAGGCACTGGATGAACTGTTAGCTGGAGCAGTAGGTCATACCCTGACGCTTGCTGACCATTCCAAGAAAAAAAAATAAAAATAAAACGACTCTTAATCCTTCACTTGATCCCCCCCAGCAGCTACTGACATTCTTCCCAAAACGGAGCTCTGCGTACGAGACATAACAGATGAATTTTTGTACTGGGCAAGAAGGGAGGACATGAAGGAAAGAACAACCACATAGGCTCCAAAATGAGCATTTTTGCTGACGCTGTGCAGTGGGAGGCCCTTGCATCACACTACTTGCATTGCTCTTGAAATATCCTGGAAAGAGTGACACACGGCTCTGCCAAGCTGTCCTGCAAAGTCATGTCAAATATGAGCCCTGCAATCCTCATTACATTTAGATGCAAGGAAGTCATCAATTCTGCATCTGGACAATCTACCCTGAAGCAACTGCATTCCAGTTTCCACGAACACTTCAATCTGTCCTTTCTGGTTGCCCTGTTGGTGCAAGAAGGCTTGCATTCATGATAAGAAGATTTGGCCACCATTAGAAGACTGAGAATTAATACTCCCAGAGGGTAGTCAAGCTTGCCAACTAAATTACCGTCTTTAAATGTTCCCCTAGTTGAGGTTTTTTTAATGAGTTGTAGAGATTGTGCATTGTGCTATTGATTGGAAATGTGTAAACCAAGCAAATGGCTGAGAAAGAAAAAGGAATTGGTGCTTTGGAAAACATTGTAGTACTAGGGCAGAAGGTCAGCAATGAGTACATGAGCCAGAGTCCAGAGACAAGTGTCATTAGGGCAAAAATAACACTGAAGTCAGCGTGTGATTTAAGACTTCCCAATCAAAGAGAAATCAAGGTGTTAGGGGGCTTTTCCTGACACACAAACAATGTTACCTTTTAAAGAACTGGGTTATAGAGGAGAGCAACACGTGTTTAGATTTTTCACAGAGCCTGTGAATTTGTCGCTTATCCCACTGTTGTATGACAAAATAAATGGGCAGAGTCATTCATCTCCTGTAAGATTGGTACATCCTAATGCACGCAGAATGTCCCAGTTTCCACACTGGGCCCCCTATATGAAAAAGTGCCTTTTACATGGGCAGTAGCTATCACCAGGTGAATCTTAGTGCTGTCGAGTTGCTCCCTAGAGGAGCCAAACCCAGCCAGCAGGTAATGACCTGACCTCAACAGCATTAAATAATTACTATTTTCACCATTAGGAGCATATTTTCAGATAACACTCACTGCTAGTAGAAATCTCTATTTATCTTTTCTGCAACAAAGGGCAGAAACAAGAAGTCGAATACAACAGTTCCTTCAGGAGTGTCAGGACTGATTTACTGGCTGGCAGTACTTCATAAGTATGTTCCCAAACCAGTGGGAGTTGAGCTTCCAGTTTCACCCTTCTCTCTACTTAGGGCAAAGATGAGCTGCTTGCTCCAGGAGTCAGCCTGTACACAGAGCCTGTCCCCGGAACACGTCTGGCCTTGGCACTAGCTGCGCAGAAGATTGACACCATCTCCCTAACCCCCTCCCTCTCACTTTCCCTTTCTCTCACTCTTTGCCTGTAGTTATTTTTAGATTTTACGGGGTAAAGCTTGTCCCTTCTGGACACTCATACGCACAGGACAGGCACACACACATGCTGTGGACACTACAACTCAGGCACGGGAGTTAGCCAACAGATTATCCTCTTCCACATCGAGGAATAAAATCCAATTTCTTACTATAAACTACTGCTCTCTGAGAGGATGCACGACGTGCTCAACCACGTGGAATTTTGTCACTTGCAAGTTTGACTGGTACCAGTTGTCTCTTTAGATTTGAGGAAATAAATTTCAAAGAATATAATTTACATTGATATTTTTAGCAACTCGCATACTTCTCCACATATCTATGCCATAAAGGAAGAAATAAATTTATAGTATATCATTACAAAAAAAATAATTGAATTCAATCAGTGAAAACAACTATAGATAAAGCTTCATGAAAATGAAATAGAAAGGTTATCATCCATGTATTTCACTTTTTCTCTGTCTGAACAGGTCGGGTATTGGGGTACTTCTGCTTGCAAAAAATTCCATTGTAAAAGGTGATTTAATTCCAAAGGGTTTATTTTGCTGTTTGTAGCAAACAGCACATCCATTCTTCTCTATGGTGCTTAATTTTTAGACACTATCTTATTTTACTTAGAACTTTACTTTAGCATTCTGCTGGCTTCCTAATCTGCCAGAATCAAAGGAGAGGTTATGGTCTGAAACGTGCTTTTGTTCAGTTGGTTGTTCCCAACGTTGCTTAGCCAACATGCAAATGTTATTCAGCATATCATCCCCTTACCATGAACATGAGTGTTGTAATCACCGTGAGGACCCACTTCTGCCTCCTTATCCCATTTATTTTCGCAACCTTATGGCCATTCCCCAGCCTGCCTTCCTCTTCTTTCCCACCCTAAGTCTCTTTCACAGGCAGAGGACTAATTCCTAATTCCCAATTGATTCCCTGTCCTGCTACAGGAGTTCTCCTCTTTCCCTGTCATCCCTGCTGGGTGGCTGCTCCCCTCTGGTGCGGCAGCCCCTGGGACACTGCCTCAGCCCCTCCTGTCCCCTGTCTGGCAGCAAGAACGTGCTTCTGAGGAGCTTCTCCAGCTCCCTGTCTATGGTGGGTTTTTGGCTGCCTCTTCTATTTTGGCCATACTTCCCCAACACCCAGCTCCGTGCTTTGATGGCAAAGTCAGTGGTGACAGAAAACACAAACCACAGGAACGTTACTGAAGAGCAGAAGCCCAGGAGCTCCTGCGAGTGGCTGTTACAGCCACAGGAGGGTGGGTGAGTGCCAGCACCCCGGGCAGGCAGACTGCTGGAGTGCATATGAGAAAGCAGAGTAAAGAAAAAGCACATCACCCCACACTTCTCTGATATATCTGAGTGTGCACAGACCAAGCCTTTGGTTTTGGGAAGGTTCTTCCCAAAGAAGGGCAGACTTCGGGGTCTCTGTCCCAAACATATCTCTCTGAGCCACTCATTAACAAACGGGTTTTGGGGTTCTACAAATTGTCTTAGGCAAGGCAAAGAAGATGTTTCCTCTACTTGAAAGGATCAATCGGTTTAGGGAATTTACTTAGAATGCCATAGTTTAACAGCAGTTTTTTAAAGGAATGAATGCCTTTTGCTGCAACAGTTTAAGCTGACTGGAGGATTTTTCCTGACACAGAAATAAAGCCAAAGAAAATATAACAAAGGTCCAATGCCATTTTTAGTTGCATGCTGCCTTTGCATTTTCCAGTGCTCTCTTCCAACATACTCTCTGCCCAGAAACCAGCATGCACTCCCTGCTAATGGGTTTTTCCTAGAATTCTCTGTCTCCTTTGCTGTAACTTTAGCTCTTTGTAATGAAATGACAGTCCAAACTGAATTTATCTCTGAGGTCCCTTCCAACCACTATGATTCTGTGATTCTGTGAAAACACAGGTCCTTTGGATAGTACCAAGGCAGTCTGAGGCACTCAGGTCAGAGGAGACTCTTTCTGGATGAATTATTGCATTGACGAGGTGCAGCCCAGTTGGGATTCTCTGTGATAACATGGCTGAAGAGATGAAGAGCAATCCCTTGCTCAACCAGGGAGACTGGAAGGACAGACCTGCCACCCGCATCTTGAGCACCAGGTCATCTCATTCTCCTGAGTGTGTGCGTTTCATCAGCCTTGGAAGACCTTGAAAGCTTTCCCTGTAACTTCGGCTGTGCTCAGCACAACTAGCACAGCTGGAGATGAACCAGAGTAATAGGATATTAAAAGCATATCTGCAGCACACTAAATACACCTGGCCACCATAAAGAAATGCAAGAAAAGCATTTCTGTCGTAGCTAAATCAGTTCATACAACAACTGTACGATTCCCTCCTCCTCATTCCTTTACCAACCATCCTCCAAAGCAAATGAGCACAAGATGCAATAAATTTCTCTGAGGAACAATAATTGCTGTACATTGAATGTTTGGAAACGCTTACACACCATCTAACTACCTTCATCTAAAACACAGCATGCTGGATTCCAGAGCTTGTTACTTCAATAGGAGCAGGATCCAGCTAAAATACGGCAATAAAGGCTGAAAAAACACAATAAGAAAAGCTGGCATCTCACAGCTAGTTTTTGGGAGAGCACCACAGCAATGCAGGGAAGAATATTTTCAACAGAGCAAGTGGGTGGAGAAAAGCATGAAGGCATCTCAAACAGCTGCCTTGGCAGAACTGGACCCCAGGACAGCTGACCGAGGCTCAAAATAACAGGCCAGTCCCTCCATTCTCTCCCTCGAGGAGAATAAGGTGACTGCTGGGGGAGCCGGAAGCTGGTCTCTCTGGCTATATGACTAATCCAAATATTTACATCAAAGCAAATCTGCTGATTACTCTGAAGGAGCAAAAAAGTGGGCTCAAGCCAAGTGAAACTACTAGACCTGAAACATGAGTCTGGGAAAATCCAGGGCTACACTGATGACGTGGGGGGAAAAAAGCTTTGGACAGCAAAGGTAGCATCAGCTGCCTGTGCTGCCACACAAACAATTGCCAGTCGTTTTCTCTGTCTCCTTCCCGCACCAGCCCTCCTGTCTTCCAGCAAATTTGGTTCCTGGACTATACTTCATCTTCTTCTCCATTTGCAGCTGCTTAGTGAAGTGGTCCTCAGGTTGCAGTATCTTACTCTCACAAGGGATGGGTCCAAAACTTCAGTGTCTTCTTTTTCTTCCCCATACCAAGCATTCAAGTATGAGTGATGGTAGAAGCAGGGACTTCTTTCCTCTGTAGGACAGGTTGTACCCACTTCTTCCCTTGGCTTTCCTACATCCTGTAGTTCTTTGTCCTATACAGAGGAGGTTCTGTGTAACCCTGCAATAGTCCCATCTCCATTTGCTGGTAGTTCCTGCATAGTTCTTCCTTCCCTACAGAAATTTCTTAATTATTTATGCCTATACAGCATCTTGTGCCAATTCTGTACTAGTGTAAATACTGACAAACCCAATACATTGTCGTAAGTGCAAGGCAAAAGAAGAGCTTCCTCTCTTCGGAGACAGATGATACCTATTACATTTCTGAATACAGCATTGGCAATTAAATACTGCAACCTGAGCAAAAGAATAAAATCTCTTAACCAGCAATTGATGATTCCTGAGAATTAAACACCAGATACTGGGCAAATTTCAAAAGAGGAGTATTACTGGGGTTCATTGCTAATGAAATGCACTCTCCAACCCTATTAATACCTCAGCATCTTGGTTACTGCAAATTGGACACCTTAAACTGCAGTCATTTTTAAAGAATTTACTCTGGTTCCCTGATATTCTTTCCACCTACCTGCTCTCCTCTCTTCTCTAATGTTTATTTTTTCATTGCTTGGAAAAATATTTTTCCCTATTCTCCTCATTTTAACTGTACAGAAGGAGCCCCCCCCGGCTATTAAACCCTGTAGACACACGGACAAACTTCTGCCTGAAGCCTGGAACATCCAGATTCTAAAACATTTCCATAATGAAACTCTGCTGCTGAAAACTGCAAGAGATTTTGATATTCACAAGCTATCCTACAGGACAACAAAGAAAGAAATGCTTTTATTTCTGTGGCAAACGGGCATTATAATGCATGTTTTTTCTGCTCATCTATCTGTTTATATTTTGCAGGAAATCTGTGAGAATCCACGGTTTATCATTGGTGGAGCCAACAGAACAGATATCTGCCAAGGAGAATTAGGTATGAAATTCTTACTTCAATCCTGTGCGTTTTAAAGTCTGCATCATAGCTTAGCTCTCACTTCATTTTCTTTTGCTTCTAAAGGGATATTTGAAATCCTATGTTTCAGTCTATCACTACACATCTACTGATTCCTGCTTTATATAGCGAGTCATTGATGTCTGCCTAGTAGCAATCTAGGGAAGAACTTTAAGAGAAAGGCACTTTGCAGGGTGTTTTGCTTTTCATGAACTAATATAATGTTACATGGCACCACTTGGCCCTTTCTCTCAGGATTTGAGGATGAATAAAATGAGTTAAGATGAGAATGAAAGGTAAAAAGAAGGAGTTACTTGACTGAGAGAAAAATCTAATCAGCTACTGTTGTATTTTCTCGGGTATTTAGTCCTATTATTTCCATACAGGATCTTCTGAAGGCCTCCAGCTAAGTGTGCCTTGTACTCAAGGACAACCCCTATATTGAAGAAGTTAAGCTTAGATGCTCAAAGAGACCTCAATACATAGAGCTGCTACTTAGGTACAAGTGATGGCTCTGCAACAGTCATCCACATGGCTCTCACCTGCACTGCTTTGTACAGTCATTCACCACTGAGCTTTGCCATGTCTTTTATAGTTTTATAACTTCACCTGTGACATTCTTCCTAATGCATCCTAATGTGTGTTAATATTTACATTTAAGAGTTGTTCTGTGCTTGTGACTGTCCTCACCTTCCCCGTAATTTTTTAAAAAAACAAACAAAAAATCCATTGCCTTTCTTTTTAGGTGACCAGAACTTCACAGTTTCCAAACTGTGGACACAAATGAATTTATATTCTCTCTGTCTTCCATTTCTTCCCCAACTACTCATAGCATTGTTTACCTTTTTGAGTTCTGCCAAACATTGGATAGTTTAGAAAACTCCTGTTCACGATTGACCCCACATCCTTCCTAAGGGGTAGCTGTCACTTACTGCTCCCCAGTGGGATTGGGGAGAGAATCAGAAGAGTGAAAAAGTGAGAAAACTCATGGGTTGAGATAAAAAAAGTTTAATAAGTAAAGCAAAAGCCATGCACGCAAGCAAAGCAAAGCAAGGGATTCATTCACTACTTCCTGTTGGCAAACAGGTGTTCAGCCATCCCCAGGAAGGCAGGGCTCCATCACGTGTAATGGTTACTTGGGAAGATAAACACCATAACTTGAAATGTGCCTCCCTTTCTTCTTCTTCCCCTGGCTTTCTATACTGAGCATAACACGATACGGTATGGAATATTCCTTCAGTCAGTTGGAGTCAGCTGTCCCAGCTGAGTCCCCTCACAACAATCTGTGCACCACCAGCCTGCTCACTGGTGGGATGGTGTGAGGAGCAGGAATGGCCTTGACTGCTCAGCACCACCCACAAACTTTAGTGTGCTACCAATACTATTCTCATCCCAAATCCAAAATATAACACTATGCCAGCTGCCAGCAAAAAAGCATGTATAGAGTTGGCTTTCCAAAATATACACATACATGTATTTCTATGTTTTATCACTCCACCAGTTCCATAAATTTCTTTTACAACTCACTGCATTCAGGATTAGTTTTCACTGTGTCATATAAGTCTCTCACCCAACTAATTCACACTGCTCAGGCAAGCTTACCCTATACCCTCTCTTAGAGTAGCAGCTAGGAGGTATTATTTAAGGGTTGAGACATCCTTTGCTGAACACAGAAGTACGATGGGATAAAGTCACTTTCCCAGAGCTCCTAGAGAGGCAGAAAGCTTGTGCAAGAGTCTGAAGGAGGAACTGAAAGGAGCTAAAGGGGAAAGTGTTTGCAACAGTGCAAACACAGATGCAAAAAGAGGAAAACGCATCAGAGCAATGAAGCAGGAAAGAGGCCCCACAGAACGATGGTTGGGACAGTGGGTTATCCCGAGAGCAGAGCATGGAAATGTGAGACTGAGCTCAGCTGTACAGAGCTCCACCTGGGAGAGAGTTATTTCTCAGCTGGTCTCTGTCCTAAGCTTGGAAGGAAACGTAAGATGGGAATTTAGATAGGAGTTCATATGGGACGTGGAAATTTTAACACAGGCAATGGTGCTCATCAGATCTTAGGCTTTTTCTAAATTACAGGGAACACCTCTTTAACAGGCATGCACCTAGCCATGAATGATGCTAATGAGCATTTCCAGAGCACAAATAAATAAAGTGCTAAAGTACTGCAGAACACATGGAGAAGAGCACTCTCCTCAAAGGTGATGATGGAATGCTCCACTGAGAATTATTATATCATTTCACAGTGTCTCTGGTTTTCCCATTGATTCTAGTTTCTCTGTCCCTTCACGTTGTCTGCTGCTTCTGCTCATTTACAGGTGACTGCTGGTTCCTAGCTGCCATTGCCTGCCTGACACTGAATAAAAAGCTGCTCTGCAGGGTTATACCACACGACCAGTCCTTCATACAAAACTATGCTGGCATCTTTCACTTCCAGGTGAGTCCCTTTGTCCAGCAGGAGGCAGATGGAACTCTGTTTACCCAAGAGAGAGTTCAGGTCTCAATGTGCTCTTTCTTTTCACTTTTCTGCCCTTTGGAAGCGTGTGTGACAGCAGGGAAGGAGGAGGGATTGAATTGCCTCACCCTAAACTCTTCCAACAGGGCAGCCACAGAAGGGTCAGCCATGTCAATTAGGCAGGCAATTAGGGAGCATTAATCCACCAAGGGAGCATTTGCAGGTTGCCATGTCCTGCGTGTAAGGGATAGCAACAGGTGCCCAGTCCTGCCTGGCTGCTCAGATGTGGCCCTACAGCCATCACAGACACGTGGGTAGCTGGCAAGAGCGTCTATTTTTAGGCCCACAAGCAGCTGGTCTCTGTCAAAAACAAGTTATTGCAGAAACATATATTCAGAAAAGATTGACTGTTTTCCGTGATTCCCTTGGCTCTCCTAAGGGACCTCTCACTGGTCCACACGCCTGAAGGAATTTTGTCCAGCTGCCTCCCTCCCAATGCTGTCACTTTTTGCCACATTATGAAGCAGTTAATTTCCACATTTCTCCTCTTTCAGCCATGTTCCTCCTCCCTGGACCAAGTCAACACTCGGGGTTTTTTTTTTCTGTTTGCTTTTATTCAGTTCTGGCGCTATGGAGACTGGGTGGATGTCGTCATCGATGACTGCTTACCCACATATAACAACCAGCTGGTCTTCACCAAGTCCTCCCAGCGCAACGAGTTCTGGAGTGCCCTCCTGGAAAAGGCCTATGCAAAGTAAAATGACCCTCAGGACTGCGACGGGCTCCCCATTGAGGCTTTGGCCAGGGAGGTGGTTAAACCAACGTGTACAGGACCTATAATGAGCACATAGAGAGCCTCTGAACATACCAGAAAATCTGTAGATTTTCATGCCTCAGAATTGGGGATGGGGTAAAGCATATTTTCTAGAGGGTTTTGCTACTCATTCAGAGGTCTACATTTGGTTCTCAACATCTCTTTCTTTTTTTTTTTTTTAATGTGTGCAAGTGGCATGTTTTAAAACTTCTAACTTGAGAGTCACCAAACAGGTGGTTTATGGGTTTTATTAGTATGTGTGTTTACATATCTTTATTTATACACATATACACAAGCTAAGTATAAATATATAGGTAGGTATCTTTATCTGTATAAAAGAGAATCTTATTTTTCTTCTCTCTTTCCAAGGCTCCATGGGTCATATGAAGCTTTGAAAGGAGGCAACACGACCGAAGCCATGGAGGAATGTTTTAAAACTTCTAACTTGAGAGTCACCAAACAGGTGGTTTATGGGTTTTATTAGTATGTGTGTTTACATATCTTTATTTGTACACATACACACAATCTAAGTATAAATATATAGGCAGGTATCTTTATCTGTATAAAAGAGAATCTTATTTTTCTTTTCTCTTTCCAAGACTCCATGGGTCATATGAAGCTTTGAAAGGAGGCAACACGACCGAAGCCATGGAGGACTTCACCGGAGGAGTCACAGAGTTCTATGAGATAAAGGATGCCCCTAAAGATATCTATAAAATCATGAAACATGCCATTGACAGAGGATCCCTCATGGCCAGCTCCATTGATGTGAGTCTGTATGAACTTTGCAGATGAGCCGTAAGAAAGGCTAGAGGAGAGGGACCTCTTCATCTATAATTAAATACATGCCACCTTTTGGGACTGCTTGGTTTAGTCCATATAGCAAACATCCATTTCTAAGAGATGGAGTCATGTCCACTAGACATCACCCATTAGCAAACAGCAAACACCAAAGGGGAAACAAAGTGAAGCAGAACATGGAGGTGGGGAGAAGGGGTGCAATCAGCAAAACCAGCACCCCCCCAGCCTCAGTGCCCTCACCCAGGTTAGTAGGGGGATGCCACAACTCTGTTAAGATGTAAATCTTCACATCAAGTGAGCTAAGTGTGCAAGTGCTTAGGAAATCAACCCTTCGATTACCAACACAGTCTGAAATTGTCTTAATTTACTGTGGTTAATTTAAAAGTGAAAGTTACAAAGCTAGCTTCAATAACCATTATGAAGCATGAAGTTGCAGTAAAGGCAGAAGAACAAGCAGTGCTACCAACCACTGTGGATAAGTATGGGCCATCTAGCATATAATGAGAGAGAAGTTATCTAAGCTGCCTTTTACCACTCATCCATCTTGTATAATTTCTCTCCTTTCTCCCTGCCTCATGTTTCTACCTGACACTTTTCTCCCATTCTCTGTACCAGGATAACCTGGGCTTTTCCTATGGATCAGCTCCTCGGAGCGACATTGGGGAACTGATTGCTCGAATGGTGAAGAATCTGGAAAACGCGCAGATGACTCACTCCACTGTAGACTACCAAGGGACAGACGAGAGGCCAGCCTGGGTAAGTATGTACCCAGAAGCAGTTGACTTCACAGGGCTTTTATTTACAGACAGAACAGTTAGAGGAACACACCATCTACGTTTTTAAATCCTTATTTGGCTTCACTGAGTTATCCCAAAACTAAAGACCTGTTCTTATGGATGTTATCTGAGATATGTATTAAAGGCACAGCTCTCACTCTGGCACAAAAAGCTCTGGGTGAACTTATTTTGAGACAGAGAGTGCTATGGAGCTCTGCCCACCAACAGAGGGGAGTCTGCTCCTGGGATGCTTCTTTAGATTGCTGCCTTTAAGATCATTTATGCATTTAAAAAGCGTAAATGAAAATGAAAAACGTGTCGAGTTTTACACACAAGGTAAACTACAAAGTAACTCCAGTATAACTTAGTACATAGCAAAATAGAGAGAGGGATATTAAAGCCATGAAAGGAAAATCCCATATTGGGAAACTTAAAAGCTTCCAAATCTGTGGAGGGACATGCTGCTTTGTCCTTCCCTCTGTCAAGCAGCTGTCATGCCTTGCCCTTTAGGGACCTGCATTTCCATGACAATGAAATTGCGTCTCTCACTTTACAGAGAGAAAAAACACCCAACACCCACCCCAATTACATCATCTAAAACTTTTGGTTGCACAAACCATCTTCTGCATTTGCAGCAGAAATGGATGTCAAAAGAGAAAAAAAATCAGCTATTTTTAGTCTTCCTAAAAGACTGAATTGGTGTAACTCTTCGGGAAGGCCCACTATGACTGCCTTGTTTTGCAAGCTTGGCTGCCCAAATCACCCGTGTTTTGGGGAGGATTTCCTCCCCACTGACTGTCTGCTCAAAGAAGTTTGGAAAACTCTGTATAGTTACTGCTCTGGCAGCCATTTTGCTGCTGGTTATTACACACTCCTGAGCCATCACCAGAAAAAAATATAATCATGACTCTTGATGGATAGAGGCAGATAGTGCAGACTTCAAAAGCACTTTAGAGAAGCGGCCTAGGGCACCAGTGGAAGTTAATATTCTTAAATAGAAAAGAGAGAAAGGGGTTCTGATAAGTAATGATGGTGACAACCTGAGCAGAAATGAAGAAAAAAATGAAATAAATATGAAATTACAGGCATTAAAAATATGGAAACAGGAGAAAGAAAGAGAAGAGAGAGAAGCAGAAGGGAAATAATGGAAAATAATTGCGACAGCCAGGAAATATTTGGATGAGATCCTCCTTATTTTTCTTCTCTCTTTCCAAGGCTCCATGGGTCATATGAAGCTTTGAAAGGAGGCAACACGACCGAAGCCATGGAGGACTTCACCGGAGGAGTCACAGAGTTCTATGAGATAAAGGATGCCCCTAAAGATATCTATAAAATCATGAAACATGCCATTGACAGAGGATCCCTCATGGCCAGCTCCATTGATGTGAGTCTGTATGAACTTTGCAGATGAGCCGTAAGAAAGGCTAGAGGAGAGGGACCTCTTCATCTATAATTAAATACATGCCACCTTTTGGGACTGCTTGGTTTAGTCCATATAGCAAACATCCATTTCTAAGAGATGGAGTCATGTCCACTAGACATCACCCATTAGCAAACAGCAAACACCAAAGGGGAAACAAAGTGAAGCAGAACATGGAGGTGGGGAGAAGGGGTGCAATCAGCAAAACCAGCACCCCCCCAGCCTCAGTGCCCTCACCCAGGTTAGTAGAGGGGTGCCACAACTCTTAAGATGTAAATCTTCACATCAAGTGAGCTAAGTGCGCAAATGCTTAGGAAATCAACCCTTCGATTACCAACACAGTCTGAAATTGTCTTAATTTACTGTGGTTAATTTAAAAGTGAAAGTTACAAAGCTAGCTTCAATAACCATTATGAAGCATGAAGTTGCAGTAAAGGCAGAAGAACAAGCAGTGCTACCAACCACTGTGGATAAGTATGGGCCATCTAGCATATAATGAGAGAGAAGTTATCTAAGCTGCCTTTTACCACTCATCCATCTTGTATAATTTCTCTCCTTTCTCCCTGCCTCATGTTTCTACCTGACACTTTTCTCCCATTCTCTGTACCAGGATAACCTGGGCTTTTCCTATGGATCAGCTCCTCGGAGCGACATTGGGGAACTGATTGCTCGAATGGTGAAGAATCTGGAAAACGCGCAGATGACTCACTCCACTGTAGACTACCAAGGGACAGACGAGAGGCCAGCCTGGGTAAGTATGTACCCAGAAGCAGTTGACTTCACAGGGCTTTTATTTACAGACAGAACAGTTAGAGGAACACACCATCTACGTTTTTAAATCCTTATTTGGCTTCACTGAGTTATCCCAAAACTAAAGACCTGTTCTTATGGATGTTATCTGAGATATGTATTAAAGGCACAGCTCTCACTCTGGCACAAAAAGCTCTGGGTGAACTTATTTTGAGACAGAGAGTGCTATGGAGCTCTGCCCACCAACAGAGGGGAGTCTGCTCCTGGGATGCTTCTTTAGATTGCTGCCTTTAAGATCATTTATGCATTTAAAAAGCGTAAATGAAAATGAAAAACGTGTCGAGTTTTACACACAAGGTAAACTACAAAGTAACTCCAGTATAACTTAGTACATAGCAAAATAGAGAGAGGGATATTAAAGCCATGAAAGGAAAATCCCATATTGGGAAACTTAAAAGCTTCCAAATCTGTGGAGGGACATGCTGCTTTGTCCTTCCCTCTGTCAAGCAGCTGTCATGCCTTGCCCTTTAGGGACCTGCATTTCCATGACAATGAAATTGCGTCTCTCACTTTACAGAGAGAAAAAACACCCAACACCCACCCCAATTACATCATCTAAAACTTTTGGTTGCACAAACCATCTTCTGCATTTGCAGCAGAAATGGATGTCAAAAGAGAAAAAAAATCAGCTATTTTTAGTCTTCCTAAAAGACTGAATTGGTGTAACTCTTCGGGAAGGCCCACTATGACTGCCTTGTTTTGCAAGCTTGGCTGCCCAAATCACCCGTGTTTTGGGGAGGATTTCCTCCCCACTGACTGTCTGCTCAAAGAAGTTTGGAAAACTCTGTATAGTTACTGCTCTGGCAGCCATTTTGCTGCTGGTTATTACACACTCCTGAGCCATCACCAGAAAAAAATATAATCATGACTCTTGATGGATAGAGGCAGATAGTGCAGACTTCAAAAGCACTTTAGAGAAGCGGCCTAGGGCACCAGTGGAAGTTAATATTCTTAAATAGAAAAGAGAGAAAGGGGTTCTGATAAGTAATGATGGTGACAACCTGAGCAGAAATGAAGAAAAAAATGAAATAAATATGAAATTACAGGCATTAAAAATATGGAAACAGGAGAAAGAAAGAGAAGAGAGAGAAGCAGAAGGGAAATAATGGAAAATAATTGCGACAGCCAGGAAATATTTGGATGAGATCCTCCCTGTGCAAGCTGAGAATGTATCTATGTGACCTTAATAATTCTTCATTTCCAGCCCTGCCTTTCTCATGGCCTCAGAAAGGGGTGGGAGAGTTACTGGCAGGGCCTTGCAGTCACCTCTCAGTGACAGACATAATGGAGAAGGGGAAGTTTCGCATACAGTCCACGTGTGTGTAGTGGCACCTTCCATCCCCACTGCTCTCAGTGATCTCTCCTACAAACACAGCAGACTCTGTGCACCTGCCAGCTTCCTCTCGGTTCTTTATCTCCCAAATAAAGACAATTCCAAGATTTGCAAGCAAAAAGCTGTCAGACACGCTAACAGTCGATTAATAGGACAGCAAATGTATTTACACCTGAGCACACATTGCTGAAAAAAGCTACTCCCTTCCTGAATGTCAGCTGGAAAATATTTCAAACGTAAGGATTTTAACAGTTATGGAATAAAATGTACATCTCCGCAGGAAATTAAAAAGAAAATAGTAAAGTTAGTAGGAACAGTGTATTAATTAGGGTGTTTTAACGTCATTGTGACAAGATTGCGGCCAGGCGTAAAGACAGAAGTATTCTTCTAGGTCTTGATCTGCTCTTATGTTTCTGGTTCATATGTAATAACCTTACTGAGCCATACCAGAACATACTATCCCAGAAAGGGCTGAATAGTCCTACTAATAGAAAATCTGACCATTTTGATTAAGCGTCCTATAAATATATACACTCATAAAGCGTGTTCTGAGTGCAAAGAGCCGTAGCCTACACAAAGGTAAAAAGTAAATCACAAAATGTCCTTTCCAATTGATATTATTAACATTTTGCTTTTCTAGTTCATGCTTCACTCCTTTCTACCCAACAACATTAATTCTGTGGACACTGAGTTAGGCCACCTCAGCAAATGCAAAGAAGAAAACGAAGACACAGCCCTCTGTCACCTAAACAGCATCATTCTCCCTCCCAAAGCCTTGGGTGGCAACACCTGCCTCAGAGCAGCCAGCTGAGCTCTGCATGATTCTTACACATTTTTATCTTGTGTCCAACAGACCATAATGCCAATGCAGTACGAAACTCGGATGTCTTGCGGACTTGTCAAAGGCCATGCCTACTCTGTCACTGCCGTGGAAGAGGTACGTACAGTCCCTTTTCTCCAGCTATGAGGAGCTACTGGTCCAGCACCATGCATGTCAGCAAAGCTGTGGGTTTGGGGGGAAAGCAAAACAATTTAAGAGCTAAGGAAATAAAATATATATTTAAATAATGAAAGCTTTGTAGAGTAACAAACCTGTCCAGGTTCTGGCTTTCTACGGAAATGGTTATTCTACCATAGTGTGCTTGGGCAGAGGTGGCCACAGCCAGACACTTTCTGGTCTTTACAGCCTTCCTGCACTCACCCCAAGCAGGTCAGGTTGGGTGATGGCCCAGTAAAGCACCATCACTGGGGGGGAGCTGGTATCAGATGTTTGGCAGGCAGAATGTTTCCTTTTGAACCTACTCTCAGCCTATTCTTGTTGCCTTCTTTTTCAACTAGACAACATTTAAAGGGAAAAAACTCCGTCTGGTAAGACTGAGAAACCCCTGGGGGCAAGTGGAATGGAATGGACCTTGGAGTGACAAGTGAGTAAAAAGAAGCTTCACATGATTTGAAAAAAGAAAAAAATTGCAGCTTCATTTGCCCTTATGCAGCTTGTGCATGACCCTAACATTTAATAATGAGGTATCTGAATTGTCTTTGCTGTTATTTTGACACATGAACTTTGAAGCTGATCGTATTTGAGTGCTTAGCTGAAGCTGTAAAAGGAAAAAAGTAACTAGAAAAGACATTAAGAAGGGCTTCAATCAACGGAAATGAAGAGAGCACCCAGTCTAGTGGCACAGTCAATCTGATTTGACTGTCTAGCAAGTTCAGCAATATCTGTTTTCAAAACAAGATGTGACAGTAGAAAAAGCTTTTAAGTTATGGAAGAACTGGATGAAGCAAGAGGTCAGTACACGAGTGAGTTTGGATAAAGCTTCTCATTAGGTTTTACTGAAAGGAATTTCAATAGCTACTCCAGCAATGAGAGTCTGCAAACGTATTTGTCTTCAAGCTAAATAGAATGAACACGGTTCAGCAGATTTTTGAGAGCTGCTAAGAGGATGTCTGAAGGGAAGGCAGAGAGGAGCAAGGAATTACTTTTTGGAGAAGAGGGTAGCATTGAGAATAAATGGTTGCAAGGCTGACAAAGGAAAAATTATATGGAAGTAGCAAGACGACTCTTGACTTTCCACTCTAAAAGGCTTACAGTAAAGATTAGAAATTTTAATGAAAACGGCATTGCAAATTGTAATCTGTTTACTCCTTTGAAGGTCAGAAGAGTGGAACTTCGTTGACGAAGCTGAGAAAATCCGCCTGCAGCACAAGATCGTGGAGGATGGGGAGTTCTGGTGAGAATCAAAAACCTGTGTTTCTATAGAAGATATGCAACTATAGCAAAAATTAATCGCCCTGCACTAGCTAAATCTGAAAAAACTGTTGCAATAGTCCCTGTTCCCCTTCCTATTCCCAATTAGCCCTGCTCTGCAATCCCCTCATTCTCCCACCAGGGTTTATGGAGTGCCACCAGCAGAGTCCTCCTAATTATGCCACACTTCCACAAGCTCTCCATCACCCTTTCTATGTATCATCCTCTCAGCCCAGTTTCCCCCACTTTGGAGATGTACCTGTGTTAATTGACCAGCCAGCATTAGGGAATCATGGTGCTCCCACTGCAAACGTGCCCTAAGAGTGGCAGTAACATGGGTCACCCTCTCCGCCTCACCAGGATCTTTCAGGCAAGCACCCACCATGTAAGTCTATTTGGGTTTAGTTTCCCCTCAATTCCTCCAGGATATCATTTGAAGATTTCATGAGGCACTTCACGAAACTTGAGATCTGTAACCTCACACCTGATACTCTGGAAGCAGATAAACTCCAGACCTGGACTGTGTCAGTCAACGAAGGGCGCTGGGTGAGGGGCTGCTCGGCTGGAGGCTGCCGCAATTATCCAGGTGAGCAACGGGCCTCTGTGATGGGGACTGTATTAGGTCACACCACAGCCTGCTCAGTTCTCAGCCTTAGGAAAAAGCCTTGCTTCCTCAGGGGATGAGGCACATGGTTTTGTAGCTGGAAATCTTCTGTCACTATGTTTGTGACAGCACCTTGTCAGCCCAAAGGTAAATCATTGTTCAAATATTTCACAGTGGCCCACATAAAAGAAAAGAGAACAGTTTCACTCTTTCACTTGGGAATAGATTTCACTTGGGAAATCCACTTTCTGGAAGTTTTAGGCACTCTGGGAGTTTGTCAGATGCCAGTTCTTCATTTTCTAGCCTTCTTTGCTGTGCAATAAATCCACTTTCTGGTAGCTTTAGGCACTCTGGGAGTTTGTCAGATGCCAGTTCTTCATTTTCTAGCCTTCTTTGCTGTGCAATTTTGTTAAAACTATGTAAAAAACATAGCACGTAAAAAAATATATACTTATTAGCACAATTCCAATCTTTCCCTCAGGAAACACAGGCAGGGAACTTAAAAGTTCTCTTTGATCATGAGTATTATTAGAAAACTGAAGCTTTACACATATGCTTTGGGTTGTTGGTGGGATTTCACAGATACATTTTGGACCAATCCCCAGTATCGCTTGAAGCTCCTGGAGGAAGATGATGACCCCGAGGACGAAGAGGTTATCTGCAGCTTCCTTGTTGCACTGATGCAGAAAAACAGGAGGAAAGAACGCAAGCTGGGAGCCAACCTGTACACCATCGGCTTTGCCATCTACGAGGTACCAGCTCTAGACTTTATTTTTCTCAACGTGGTCACCAATCCTGACAGTATGCATTTACCAAGAGTCAGTGAATCATTCAGCCTGATTACATGAACTGCAATTTTTAATTTGCAAGAAACTCAGGGGAAACCTGGGAGTGAGGAAGGAAATTCAAGGCTTTGTAACCATTCAGATCATAGTAACCTCAGAATTTACCCCATCTATAAATAACACACTTTTCAGGCTTTTATACTGACTCAATGCCAGAATTTAATATAGTCTCTCATATAGTCTCCAAACTTCTTTTCATCCTTGCTGAGACTAAACATTTCATTGGCAGAATTGTATAAAAAAAGGAAACAGGCATCCAAGATGCATATGCAGTGATTAACCTCTGTCCTTGTTGTCAACTTCATGAAGAATTCCATTTACTCAGTTCCTTGCACAAACATACTTAGTTCAGATCTCAGTGGATCTCATGTAGACCTCAAGAAATCTAGAGAGGATGAGAGAAGTTGCTTAGAATATTTATATAACTTGGGCCATTTTAGTTCAGATCTCAGCGGATCTGTAGACCTCAAGAAATCTAGAGAGGCAGAGAGAAGTTGCTTAGAATATTTATATAACTCATAGTGATTAACCTCTGTCCCTGCTGTCAACTTCATGAAGAAGTCCATTTACTCAGTTCCTTGCACAAACATACTTAGTTCAGATCTCAGTGGATCTCATGTAGACCTCAAGAAATCTAGAGAGGATGAGAGAAGTTGCTTAGAATATTTATATAACTTGGGCCATTTTCATGATCCCCAGAAATCTATGTGAACACCATTCTGTACGATCTATAAACAAGTGGACTCGCTCAGCAGCTCTGACTGTTTCTTCTCTTTGTTTTTCCCTAAGGTGCCCAAAGAGGTATGAGCAGAACGGAGGCTGATTGACACCTTGGTGTATACTCACAGCTAGTGTTACTGTTGTGCCTGTCTGTAAGTCAGCAGGAAACTGTCCAATCAAGGTTGTTTTCAGGGGTGCAGCAGAAGCGAAACTGCTAACCCTTCTGCTTTGAGTGCTTATTGGTAACATTTTTGCAAGTAATTTTTAGTTCCTTCTCACTCGCACCCCATTTTCATCTGTGCCTTTTCCTCAGTCCTTCTCTTCTGCATGAGACCTGACCACTGGTGATCCTGAGCTGCAGGAAGCCGTGCCAGCGAGCCCTTTGCCATCACGTTCCATGCAGAACCACCCTAAACACTTCCCTTTCCTCCTGCAAATAATGCCAATGGCCTACATCCTGCAGCTGCAGAGTTTCTCTACAGTCTTAGAATTTGTTTGGAAAAATCAATGGTATTTTCAGCCATTGAAAAAAACGTATTAAAAGTAACACAGATTAAGTTTTACTGAGCCTACTGGTAGCTGAATCATTGGCATCACAGTTTTTGCAAACAAGCTCACCTGAAGGCTACATAACCTGGAAAACATGAAGATAAAAGCCTGAATATTGTCTTTGCTGACTATTTTACAGGTGGTTATTTCTACAGAAAACAGCCTGCAAGTGTTCTTAGCCCACAGTTCTTGACCTGACATTCATATTTGAACCAATGCAACGTTTGATTGTGTTTTGATAGTAGATAGAGAACTCATGTTTTGTCCAGGCAAGGAGACATTTCCACTGAAAGCATCTTCATCTTACCACACTGCATGCAGGAGTTTGCATATTACCATTCCTTGCCATGCCACCCTCCAAGGAAAGTAACTGAACTCTGGTTACACCTACAGAACATAAGTCAGCCAATGCTCTGTGGGTGGGCTCTGGAGCAGCCCTGAGAAGCCAAATAGACCCAGCCAGTAGCAACTTAAAGGTGGCAGACCCTGTATCTGTTACCAGCTATCATGCCTCATCAGCTCCCTGCTTGCTAAGCTGCCCCTTCATTTGTGTTTTCTGTCCCAACCACGTGCTGCCTTCATGACAAACCCGCAGGGAATGGGTAAGACTTCCTTGAACTCAGAAAACTGACTTATTTGTTCTGCAGATGCACGGTACTAAGCACCACTTGCAAAAGGATTTTTTCCTCTACAATGCCTCCAAAGCTAGAAGTAAGACCTATATAAACATGCGGGAAATCTCCGAGCGCTTCCGGTTGCCTCCCAGCGAGTACGTGGTGATCCCATCAACATATGAACCCCACCAGGAGGGAGAATTCATCCTGAGGGTCTTCTCAGAGAAAAGAAGTCTTTCAGAGTAAGTTGCAGGTCCACTTATCTGGCCATAAAAGTGGCAGTGAGCTCACTAGTCTGCTTTAGTTATATTCCCAGTTTGCTACACCTGCATTTAAATTTTTCAACCTCATTAGAAACTCCAAGCCGTAAATTCGTTTCCCTGAGCTTCCCTTATAGCCTACCAAAAGCTGCTCTGAATTATCTTTGGAGAAGCTTACTACTAGCAGAATATCCTTTTTAAACATCCCATTAGCCATTCTTAATAATGAAAATGAATGTCTTTGGATTTATTGCTATAAGTCACTGGCTGAAGTTTTGGCCAAATAGATCATTGAACCAGATCTAGTGAATGAAACACAGAAGTAGGTAGTTACTTATTTTCCATTCTGCTCTTCAACTATTTTCCCAGAGCTCAGCAAATTGTGGCTGGTGTCACTCTACATAGGCCAAACAGTTTCTGTTTTACTCTCAGTTGCCAAAGTTGAGGGTTATCAAAGGCTCTTTAGAGGAGTAAAGCAGGCAGCAGCCCTCCTGGAAGTGGTACTTGGGATGCTCTGCTCAAACTGGGAAGAAGCCTGGAGCTGTAACAGTTGGAAGCCAGCCCACACTACTGGCTTTTGCAAAGTTCAAATGGCTGCTTACAAACCAGCTACAGAAACAAGCAATATTGGGAACAGCCACTTTCCTAATTTATTTACTTTCTGCTTTCTTTTAGGGAGGTTGAAAACATGATTGAGGCAGACCGTCCATCGGTAAGTACTGTTCCTGGGCCTGTTCTGTACACAAATAGGGGCAGGGAGAGGAGGAGCATCACATCTAGGGAAACCCACAGCAGGAAACAATTTGCAGCCACATCGTGGCTCCTTTAGCATAAATGCCCACATCCTCTCATCAAGATACTTCTATTAACACTTGCTTTATATACACTACTTTCTGATTTGGCCAGATTAACATCTTTTGCCAGATTTGAAATTTGCTGGCATAAAGATGCTAAGCATTGCCTTTGCATCCATCAATGGAGATTGTTTATTTACCAGCAGAGGCCTAGCTTTGTGCTCCAAGATATTTTGTTTTTGAAATTGACATCTCATCTAATAAAGAAAAAAGTACCCTATTTTGAAGTACATTCCTTTCTGGAAAGGGATCCTAATGATACTGATTCAAACTAGCATCTAATTCTCAGCATGGGTTTTTACATATTTTTGTGGGAATATACTAAAGCTAACAATACAATTAGTCTTGAAAAAAAAAAAGAGAGGAAACATTCTTGCATAGAATTGAGCTCCATGAAACCTTGCTCAGAAGTGTTCCCCTTTTGTTTGCTGCCATGATAACAAAATATCTGGTGGAGTTTAATTGCCATTTCAGATAACACTGATCTGTGGGCACACAAGTCCAGTCTCCACTGCACTGGCAGGTTGGGAAAAAGAAAAGGAATAGTCAGAGCTAAAGGTACAACAGAGATATTATTCAAGGAAAGCCCCACATGAGATGGGCACTGTTTTCCTATGGTTTCTGCAATTTCTGTCCTTCAGTATGCAATTCCGTGGTGGGTGTATTTTGCCTCGTTTTTGGAGATTTGAAAACCGTATGAATATAGGAAATGGGGGAAAATTGTATAAATATAGAAATGGGAAAAATAAATGTGGGAAAGAGCAAGAGAAAAAAAACAACTTTACCATCAGCTCTGCATGATATAGGTAAAATCTATAATTCTGTTTAAAAACACTTTTTTTTTTTTAATGTTGCCTCTTATTTGTACAGAAGAAGAAAAAGGGCAAGGTGGGTGCTGGTGTGATGTGCTGAGTGCCAGGAAGGTGATGAGCATGCGCAATGCATGCAGCAGGAGCAGAGTCCCTTGGTGCCAGTATGATTTATTTCTCTGCACCTGGAAAGTGATCTAGTTAATGAAGGGCACTGGAAAAGAGGCCATTAGCAGGCAGCAAAGATTTTGTCTTCCTACACTACATACTAATGAAATAGCATTGGCATCGTATACCCCTCTCTTTCAAAGGGGTGGAAAAAGGCTAACAGAAGCTTTTCAGCTTTATAAGCTTGATCCTCCAGGTTGCTCAAACTGCCCTTCCTTCCCGCCCCTCCATGGGCACCCTGACACCCCTTCTCCAGGCACACCCCCTCACCTTTGCTTTCTGATCCCTAATGCAGCTACTCCTCTTTCCTGAGGTTTCTGCTCACTAAAGTCCAGGATTCTCCTTTCTATTCTGCACAACACATTTAGGACCTTGAAAACGTAACCAGGCATTTTAACCTCAAGAGAGGCTGACTGCACTTAATCCCCTGGGTTAACAGATTCACATCTTCCTTGTAGCAAATTTCCTCATTTTAAATAAACTCAACCAGAACAATTGCATGTGGCTGCTTATAGCTGGATGCTTCAAGAATTAACACAGAGAAAGAATATAGACTTTGCAGAGCTACCAAGCTCCTACATAAATACTTCTTTTCTGTGTAGGATTCAGATTCTGTTTTCATTGTGACTGTTGTTCAGCTTAACTGAGACGCAAGAATCTGGGAGGCTCATTTCACTTAAAAAGAAAAAAAAAAAAAGTAATGCTTAAACGGTTACTGTCTTTCTGAACAGGAAAGCTAGAAGCCAGAGATTACACTCTTTTACCAAAAAGACTTCTGCAGCTTGCTTTTTAGCATAAGAGCAATAACTTCAGAAGTCAATGTCCCCCCATGTTTTGGTTTTTTTTTCCCCTCATTTTCTTTCATTCCCAGTTCTGGCTTCCCCAGTCATGCTCTTAGGGCAGGAGCTGTTGCTGCATGTGCTTCACCACGGAATGGCTGTCACCAAATATTTTCCCTTCCACTATTTCTTGTGTAACTTGCACTTCTCTTTTGCTCTCTTTGTTCTTCTTCTTCTTCTAGCCTATCATCTTTGTTTCCGACAGAGCAAACAGCAATAAGGAGCTGACAGCAGATGAAGATGCTGGCAAAGATGGTGAAAAAACCCATGCAGATGAGAAAAAGGTTTCTGGAGCAAGTGGCAAGGAGGGGGGAACAGAGCTTGGTCTGGCTGGCATGAAAGAGTAGCTGGAAAGAGCAGAGGAATGGGGCAAAGAAGTGTCCTAAGACACTTCACAGCTTTTCATCAAATCTTAGCATAACTTGCTTCTGGTTTAGGTGGATCTAATGAGCATGAGTGAACAGAGACTACTTTACAGTTATTTATTTCACAGTTATTTAAGACCTGTGCTGGAGGATTTAGTTGCTTGAAAGCATCCCCTGGTTGTGCTCTTACACAAGGATCCTGGCTGTGAGACATCCCTTCCCCACGAGCAGCACAGCTCCATCCACTCCTCCTCAGCCCCTGCTGCGGTACCTGCTTTATACAGGGCACACACACAAATCACACCCAAGGGGCTCCAGGAGCTCCTGGAGATGATCACAGCCTCTCCAGGAGCTCCTGCACCCCTCCTCTTTTCCCTCACTACTGGAGAGAGGAAATCAGGGCACCAAATCCAGAGTTTCTGCCTGCAGGTGGGTGAGGGATGCGAGATGCAGCAGCCAGATCCTGCACCCAGGCTCCTGGAGGCACAGCTGGAGCATCTTCCTACAGGGAGCCTGCTGTTCTGCTGCATGACTGCCAGAGCGTGCAGGAGGCCAAGTGGGAACCATTTAGACAAACAAAAATACAAACTAAGCCAAGAAATTCACTTTGCTTCGCTACACATAATTCCTGTAATTTAATACTGGGGGGTGATGGGAGAAATATAGTTTCCTTTTCCAGTTTGAGCCTCAGAGATCAGGCTTGCCCTTTGCCTGTGTCTGAGATGGAGGAAAATGGAGACAGTGAAGCTGTCTCATGTGCTGCTTGTCTCCAGCAAGGGCCCTCCCCACTGCAAAGAGCTCTCAAGCCCAAGTCCATTCATGGCCTACAGGGTGGCTGTGGAGCAGATATGCCTCTTCTGCTCCAAACTTCTCCTTCGCAATGCTTTGAAACAAAAAACAAGATGATAAACATCTGTCACTGAAAGTAGTCATTTAGGCTCCTTCCAAGAGAAAGGAGAGCAATGGAATGAAGTTAAATACTCAACAGCTTTGCCAAGGAACACATTTAACCAAAAAAAAGGGGAAAGGACCAGGAGGATGACCCATTCCTCCAAAGGCTCCTTCACATGAGCCAACCAAGCCATGCCACCCCCCAGGCCCCTTCCCTTCCCTGCTGGGCTAACATTATATCTCCCCTTTCCTTGTCTCTTTTCAGCGCTCTTCAGCAAAAGCTCATGACAGGAGTGAAGAAGAAAAGCAGTTCAGGAATATTTTCCGACAGATTGCAGGGGATGTGAGTACACAACTGATCCCTGTCCCTGCTGTCAGAGCAGCCGAGTCCCAGCAGCACCTACACCAACTGCTGCACCACTTAAAAACACTGAATTTTAAAACTTCCTTTGAATTTTTTTCCATCAAATTTCCTTTGAGATCTGACACTAAGCAAAATCAAATCAAAATCCAATTAAATATACAGCTATCCTCATAGGCACATCTAAGCTATTCCCATTGTGTGCAAGGGAGCCTGATTTAAATGTGGGCTTTTACTTCTGTCACTACTACGTGGTGCTATTTTGCATAGTGTGTATAAACAAGTTAGAAATACAATGCCCTCCAGTGTATGCTTAACGAGAGAAGTTACAAGTGCAAACAGGTCAAAGAACTGCATAAATCGAGAGGCTGCAGATGGGTTTCAGGGATTTTCACATTTTGCTTTTTTGGCTTATACAGTGGTTTGAAATTACTGGTTGTTGTTCTAGTTGTAGCTCAATAAGCACTATATGGGAACTTTAGACCTACCTGGTACTGCAGCCTCAAGAAAGATTTGGACCAATGTTTATACAAACTACAACATGCTCTAGCTTGAAGCATATGTATGCCATACTGAAGAGTGACCAAAGACTTCATATTTTTAGCATATACACCCATTAAGCCATCCGTTTAATAAGAAATGTCGTAATTAATTAGATTTTCACCACATTTCCCACCAGGACATGGAGATCAATGCTGAAGAACTCAGGAACGTTCTCAATAATGTCGTAAAAAAACGTGAGTTTGAGCATGTTTTCCAGTAACCCTGGACAAAGAAGTCTGTGATATACTGTAACCCTCCACCCCTGAGTTGCACTCTAAAAGTTATTTATGGTTTCAGCCTCACAAATTTCCTAGTTACACTTCCATAGACTTTGCAGCCAAGACTTTAGCAAGCTGAACTGTTCATAGAGATGTTCTGTAGGAGTGGTCAAGTCGTGATAGTGCAGAAATGAGCAAAAGTTCATTGGCAGCACCACAGGGGATCATACAGCATTTCAAGCTGTCTGCAAATGCCCTTTAAAAGAAAAAGTTCTAACGGAGAGGCTGTTTTTTCTCCCTGTTTAGCAAACTTTAGCTTACAGGCCCTGGGCTTGCTTAGTTACCTGGAAGTTGGTTTAGAAGTTTCCAGAGGTTTTTATTGTATATTACAGGTCAACAAAAGTCATCTCTAACTCACAAGCAATAATGTTAGAGTCTGTTCAGATTTCTCTACTATTCTTTTCTTACTGGATGAAGGAAGTAGGTTTGGCTTCTCCTTTGAGTAGAATTACACCTAAGAGGAAGAAGAACTTGCTGCCTTGCACGACCTGTTTTCACCTGGAATCATTTATTTCAGATAAGGACCTAAAGACAGAAGGATTTGAACTGGAATCCTGCCGCAGCATGATTGCTTTAATGGATGTATCCTTTTCTGGGGAAAGGGGGTGCTTGATACCCCACTAGTCCACTTGGGTTGTATTTCCCACCACCAGACACACACAGAGCTCCCACACAGGGCAGGAGAACAGGACATTATAGACCTTAGTCAGATAAAACAGCAGTCCTGGTTTGGCACAGCTCAACTCCAGTCATCTCAACATTAGCGTAGGTGGCAGATGAAAATATCTCAAAACAGAGAACTACAGGATGAGTCAGTCCTTATCCTTATCCATATCCTTCCTTAGGTATCAGCAACCAGCCAGCTCAGGTACTAAAGCAGGATTTTTATTTTAAACCAACTCAACATAACTACAGTTCTTGCCAAGGAACTTCACCATATTTCTCTCTTATTTCTAAGTTTATATGTATTATACATTCCACTGTGTGCTTAGCATGCAACACATACAGAAATTGTCTTACAGCAAGTACAAGGAAACACACGACGAGATGCCATAGGGGGTACCTCTGGTACAACATCCCTCAGTTTCCCTACTTGACATAATCCATGATTTTGAGACAACAAAAGTGCACTCAAACATAACCAGAACAAAACTGTAACGACAACCCAGAGCCATAATAGTTGGAGCCTAAACACATTTTTTTAAGTGGCTTTAGTCACCATTTTGCTTAGTTCTCAGTTCATTTTAAGCAAGACAGAAAGAGCTTCATTCTAGGAATAAATTCAGTTAAAAACGTTGAGGACATTCCACATTTGGAGGTATTTGGAAAGAGCCCACTAAAACATCCTGTTCACATACTTTATAATAGCAGCAGGAGCAAACCTCTCTCCTGTACCAGATGTTTGCTTCTACACAAAGTACAAATAGTTCTTCACACTCCTGAAACAAAATACTATGAACAATAACCAAAATGGTCACAAATATTTCACTCAGTAGCTCAGCCAGCTCGTAACACCAAGGAGATCCTGAACTCAGTTTCGCATTCATCCCTTCACCAGTAGCTGAAAACTTAATTAATTTTATCTTAAAAATATTGTGGTATTTTTACCTGAATGTTTGCATCCCAGACAGACGGCTCGGGGAAGATAAACTTCGATGAATTTCGACACCTCTGGGACAAGATTAAAAGCTGGCAGGTATTGCTGGTATTCACAGCCTGGTATTCACAGCTTCTGGAGCACAAAAGCTGATGTAGTAAAGCCATACCTCTCTACATACAGTATAACAAAAAGAAAACCTAAAATACTGAAAATTAGCTTCTAAAAAGAAAAGGAATGTCTTTCCTCTCCTACTCACAACCTGAGCAAATAGCCTGAATCTCTGAAGCTCCAGCACTTGTGTGAAGACTTCCCCCATGAGACTAGCAGGGAGGCACACAAATTGGAGGAAGGTGGTGGTGGTAACTAAATTAAGGGCTCACAGATAGCTTAATTAGGACAATCAAGAGAGACCATTAACAGCATAAACTCAAATTAAACAAGGAGAGTCTCTAGGGGGGAGCTTTTTGCTTCTTACAGCATGGATCTAAATTATTTTACTTTGTGACTGAGCGGAGCTCTGTGGTACCAGCCCGGCAGCAGCAATGCAAGGCAGATGGCAAAGCCTCCAAGGGCCTGAGTCTCACACCCCACACCCACTCGCTGGGTACGTTCAACAGAAGGACCAGCTTTTATTTCTCATGTGTATTTCAGGCAGACGGCAAAGCCTCCAAGGGCCTGAGCCTCACACCCCACACCCACTCGCTGGGTACATTCAACAGAAGGACCAGCTTTTCTTTTTCATGTGTATTTATTTTTTGTTTGTTTGTTTTTCCAGAAAATTTTCAAGCGTTACGACACAGATCACTCAGGAACCATTAACAGCTACGAGATGCGCAATGCGGTCAATGACGCAGGTACTTCCCCCGGTGGTCAGTGCCCAACAGCCAAAGGAACCTTATTTTGGTTGATCTGTCGCAGGTGAAATCAGGAATGCAGTGCAGCCTTTTAAAGAGACCCCATAGATGGTGTTCAACAGCCAAAGAAACCTTATTTTGGTTGATCTGTCACAGGTGAAATCAGGAACGCAGTGCAGCCTTTTAAAGAGACCCCATAGAAATTCAAAAATCCATTTTTTCCCCCCAACAGAGCTTCTCAAATATCTAAATGGCAAGTCTTGTATGTCTTACCAACCAAATAGTTCTCTTCAGCTCTTTAAATTTTCCAGTGAATGAGGCTCTGCTGCCTTAAGGATCTTGCACTTGGGGTCCTGCTCTTCAGGGAGTGCTGCAGACATTTGATTTCATTTAAGCTGTGGATTCTTTATGTTTGTGTAAGGAGGGTTGATCTGTCGCAGGTGAAATCAGGAATGCAGTGCAGCCTTTTAAAGAGACCCCATAGAAATTCAAAAATCCTTTTTTTCCCCCCAACAGAGCTTCTCAAATATCTAAATGGCAAGTCTTGTATGTCTTACCAACCAAATAGTTCTCTTCAGCTCTTTAAATTTTCCAGTGAATGAGGCTCTGCTGCCTTAAGGATCTTGCACTTGGGGTCCTGCTCTTCAGGGAGTGCTGCAGACATTTGATTTCATTTAAGCTGTGGATTCTTTATGTTTGTGTAAGGAGCAATCAGTGAACAGTGGAAAACCTTCAACCCAAGTGTACAGGCACAGAAACCCAGGCAGAGCAGGTTAATGTCCCAGTTTGCATCAGAGGCAACTAGATGGTCATTTCTTGAGTCCTGTGTGTGTTTCTTAGCGTCACTAAAGCCACTGTAGGCTCAGTCTCCTACCTGCACACCAAGAAGAAAGTATTTTTGCAAAAGTTGCAGTTAATGAAACTCATTCTGCAAAGAGAGGCTTTTGACTTTTCTTGCTTCTTGTCTCAAGCCCTTTGGTGTGCTACAATCAATGAACAGTGGAAAACCTTCAATCCAAGTGTACAGGCACAAAAACCCAGGCAGAGCAGGTTAATGTCCCAGTTTGAATCAGAGGCAACTGGATGGTCATTTCTTGAGTCCTGTGTGTGTTTCTTAGCGTCACTAAAGCCACTGTAGGCTCAGTCTCCTACCTGCACACCAAGAAGAAAGTATTTTTGCAAAAGTTGCAGTTAATGAAACTCATTCTGCAAAGAGAGGCTTTTGACTTTTCTTGCTTCTTGTCTCAAGCCCTTTGGTGTGCTCCTCTCCCTGGAGAGCAGGCTTCCCCAACAGGGGGCTTCCCCAGCTGCTGCTTCTCTCAGGGAGCAAATGGCTTCTTTAATCAGAAAAGCTGATTTGATCCTTCGTTAAGGACAAACTTACACCTGGGTTTGGACTCCTGCTGCAGTAGAAGTATGGGTCAATCTTATTTTCCAGGTTTCCGTTCTCACCAAGAAAGTTTTCAATGTAAAAAAAAAATAAATATAAAATCATTTAATTACCTCCCCTGCTCTGACTTGAGAACTAAGAACACATTTTGCAATAAAAACATAATAATAATTATTTAATTACCTCCCCTGCTCTGACTTTAGAACTAAGAACACATTTTGCAATAAAAACATCTCAGTCTTACAGCCCATAGCCTGTCCCTGACCTTGCATTTAGCCAAGAACCACCAGCACCCAAATCGCAGCCGTCCCTTTGTGGAGCTGCAGCAGGTCAGTGCTGTGGTTTGGCAATGCCATACTGAGGAATTACCTCATCTATTTTTTGACCATTTTGTAATTATTTTTTTTCGCAGCAGCTTCCTCCTACATTTCTGTCACCCAGTTTTTGTGGCTTTGCTCCCATCAGGCTCAGCTGAGCTGCAAAATCTTTGGTGCAGGCCTCTCCGTGCTTACGGCGTGGGGTAACTCATGTGCTACTGGCCCTCCGAAATCACAGTTTCAAAACGTTACTCCTGGTTTAAGAAAGCAGCTGGACACAAGGAAGCTCCTTGTATCTTCACTTCCTTTCATCCAGAGGCCGCAGCTTCCACGGCTGGGCCCGGGGAGCTCCTGTGGCCAAACCTCTCCTGGAGGCCTGACCAGCACTGGTGCTTGCCCCTTGGCCTGCAGCCCAGCTGAGCCCCCTTTCTGGTCCTTTGCAGGGTTTCGGTTGAACAACCAGCTCTACGACATCATCACCATGCGCTACGCCGACAAGAACATGAACATCGACTTCGACAGCTTCATCTGCTGCTTCGTGCGCCTGGACGCCATGTTCAGTGAGTGCTGCCCCGGCCCTCCTCGCCCCCGACACGCACTGCTGGACTCCAGCACTGCTGCCTGCATGTACTTTTAATAATTAATGTCCTTAGAGAACCTGTAATGTGACAGCCATCCTAGACAAACACAAAAGAAAATACGCCATTGCATTTCTATTATAGAAAAGAATCATAGAACCATCTAGGTTGGAAGGGACCTTTAAGATAATCGAGTCCAGCCATTGACTTAACACTGGTAGAATCCCAAAACCACCACCAAACCATGTCCCTCAGCACCACGTCTACCCGTCTTTTAAATACCTCCAGAGAAGATGATTCCACCACTTCCCCAGACAGCCTGTTCCAATGCTTAATAACCCTTTCTGTAAAGAAAGTTTTCCTAATATCCAATCTGAACCTCCCCTGACACAATTTGAGACCATTTCCTCTTGTCCTATTGCTTATTACTTTAGGAGAAGAGACCAAACCCCACCTCTCCACACTCTTATTTCAGGTAGTTGTAGAGAGCAATAAGGTCTCCCCTTCAGCCTCCTTTTCTCCAGGCTAAACAACCTCAGCTCCCTCAGCCTCTCCTCATAAGATGTGTGCTCTGAACTCCCCACCAGCTTTGTTGCCCTTCTCTAGACATGGGCCAGCTCCTCAATGTCTTTCTTGTATTGAGGTGCCCAAAATGGGACACAGAACTCGAGGTGGGGCTTCACCAGTGCCAAGTACAGGGGGACAATCACTTCCCTACACCTGCTGGCCACTCTATTTCTGATACAGGCCAGGATGCTATTGGCCTTCTTGGTCACCTGGGCACACTGCTGGCTCATGTTGAGCTGGCCATCGACCAACACCCCAGGTCCTTTTCTGCCAGGCAGCTCCAGCCACTCTGCCCCCAGCCTGTGGCGCTGCACGAGGTTGTTGTGACCCAAGTGCAGGACCCGGCACTTGGCCTCGTTGAACCTCATCCCATTGGCCTCGGCCCATTGGTCCAGCTAGATAAGGAAAAACATGGCAGAAATCCTTGCTGATTTATTTATTTATGCTGATTTATGTAGTTTAATCCACTCCATACACTTTTGTTTCCTTGCTTTAGGAGCATTCCACGCCTTTGATAAAGATGGAGATGGCATCATTAAGCTCAACGTCCTGGAGGTAAATTGCTTTATGCCAGTATTTCTAACACAATACTAGATTTTATTTGTATTATTCATTGCTCACGTTCTCAAGGGAGCCTACAAGAGTTTCTCTTAAATTGTCATCCAAGTGGTAAGAGTCCACAAAACCTTCTAAAAATTTTGCTAAGTATTTTACACAGAAAATATGTGTATCCGTGATCTGCCAGCAAGAGCTGCTCTGCAAGAGACTCCAGTTGGTGCTGACAGGCACGGCTGTGGACTCCTCAGATCATCTTTAAAGCGCTTCAAAAAACCCCTGAGGGTTTTTTTTTTATGAGGCAATTTAAATCAAACATACTTTAGTTTAAAGGCATCGGCTGATAATGGAGCCTACTATAGTTATTTACCTTTTCATAAATCTGATTAAGAAGACTTAGAAAGTTTCAACTTAAAAGCATGTCTTCTGCTGGGAGACCACAAAAAAACCCTTCACTTCTTGCAAGGGAAGGAGGAACAGGAGCAAGAGGCCTTGGACACTGTTCCCCATTGCCCCTGTGCCTCAGCGAGCAGCTGCCTTCCAGGCTGGGTAGGGTTTGTTGGAGGAGGCCAACAGGTCCTTCATCGTCTGATTCTGACTCCTTTCAGTGGCTGCAGCTCACGATGTACGCGTGACACCGGCCCCAGAGCCCACCTTCAGCGAGACAACGCTCAAGGCGTCCGTTTTGGGCCACAAGCTTCATTCATCCCCAGCGCAAACGAGCATTTCCTAATTAGGTGCTTCACTCGCCGAGATAAACAGCGCCTGGGAAGGATCCCTGGGAAAAAGAGAACCCTACTCCGGCAGACAGAGCAGTGCCCACCTTCTCTAACTACTTTTCTAACTCCCTGACATTTTCTCTCAGGCAACAAGGATTAATTTATTGATGACTGAATTAAGCTTTTTCTGTGTGGCAACGACACGGAGCGTACACGGGTTATTGTGCTGACGCCTGGAAAAGCCTTCCCTCAAGTCAGGCCAAGCTGGGACTGGATTTGAACTGTGAAAGTCAGAGGTGGTTACCACCACCTTGTCATTAGTCATTAAGTCTTTGTCCTGCTTTTGATACCATCCATTTCAGCCTCTTCATCATGTTGATTGAATATTTGACGCGAGACCATGCTGGGTGACATTGATACGACATGTCCCCATCCCCTCTGCTGCTGTAGATGTGGCCATAGGGCACCACAGCCCCCAGCACCAAAAGCATCAAACTGAGCAATTTGGCCTCATTTTGAGTACCCCCAGAGTATCTTAGTTACACACTGGACATTTTACATGTGTTTTAGAGTTGCTGCATTCTCTGTAATACCAAGAAAGGTGTTTGCCACTCGAGACAGAAAACCTCTGTACATTCATACAAATATATATCCACACACACACTTCAGCCCCACCCGGGTCCTGTTTTCCTGCCAGGATTGTGTATTTCTTTATTGTAAGAAGTGACTTGTAGCAGAATCAGACTCTATGTCAGCATGACAGCTTTGGGAAGATTATTAGAACGTGTACGTTCAATTAGTTTAATTGAACAAAAATAAAATCAACTGGATTTTGGCCTAACGTTTAGGGGTGGTTTTTATTTTTATGAAAAAACAGGAGGATGAAACATTGAGAATGTTTCCATCGTTCTCCTGAATATCCAGCCGCTTCTGGAGGTTTATGGCAAGCATGGAATCAGCTTAGTATCTCAAACACTTACCCCTTTGCTCCTTGAATGCTTTAAAAATATGAAGCCCTTGAGTTTGAGAGCTCCATCGTTACCAGCTTTAAGGACGACAGCGTTTCAGAACAGGTGAAGTGTTGATCAATATAAAAACAAAAGGAAAAACAAAATGTGGAAGACAGGGTGTGAAGAGACCAGACTTGGCCAGAAGAACCTTCTACTTGGTTCTCTACCAGTGAAAAGTAACAAAACAATCCACTGCTGTGAAGCAAAACTGTAA